GAATATAAGAATGAATACAGTGGTTCAGACTTGGTGACACTGAGAAACAAAATGAAAGGATGTGGTTCATTTTGATCCGGACCTTAGTTAGCAGTTAGTAATACACCCCCATTCATCTCTCAGTAATCCTTAGTAAACCTATATTATCTGTGACATTAACCTGATTATAGTTTTAAACTTTTTATAGTGGAAAATTACGAACATACACAAAAGTATATAGAATAGTACAATTAACCTCCATTGTCATTCTTATTTCATCTATTACCCGTTCCTTTTTTTTCTGTAATACTTTAAAATGAAGCCTAGTCATCATATCATTTCACCAGTCAGTCCTTCAGTTATGTATTTCTAACAGATAAGAACTTAAAAAAAATTAGCCCCAATAACACTTGAAATGTTTTATTATTGCTTTATAATTTTACCCTGTATCAGTTTTCTCCTGGGTAGTTTAATAAGTTTATTGTATAGTGATTGAATTTTTTCCCTAAAATTCTGTTTCTAGGAATAGCTTGGTCAATCAAAGTAAATGTGTACAGTTGGCCCTTCATATTAGCAGGTTCCACATCTGCAGATTCAAACAACTGAAGATTGAAAATATTTGGAAAAATAAATTCCAGAAAGATCTAAAAAGTAAAACTTGAATTTGCTGTGCACTGGCAACTATTCACATAGTGTTTGCATTGTATTAAGTATTAAAAATAATCTAGAGATGATTTAAAATATGCGGGAGGATGTGCATAGGTTATATGCAAACACTTAACCATTTTATATAAGGTACTTGAGCATCCATGGATTTTGGTATCCTCAGTGGTCCTGAAACCACTCCCCTTGGATACCAAGGGAAGATTATACTACTTATATTATGACATGAGAGCCATGTAATTCATGTTTCTTAAATCAGGTTATCATATGATGGTAGGTCTCCCTTCAGAGTTGGGGTTCTTAATACCATTTGGCAGTCTTGTGAATCCTTTGATTCTTGTTTGGGAATAATCTTTCTGAATGTATAAAATGAAATACATAGGATAACAAAGGAAATCAATTATATTAAATAACAATTATCAAGATTTTAAGTTGTGATATGTTTCTTTATTAATGAATTAAATAACAAGATCTAGCTGCAGGTCTAAAAACTACCATATTCTCTAGGTAGTAATAAGCGTGAACAGTGTTTTAAGATGTCTGCAATAGTTGTGATATAAAGTCATGTATGATTTCTATTAATGACAAAGTCTCATGTATTGCTAATACTGGTATAGTTAGTTTCCTGCATTCAAAATTTAAGGAAGTGTAAATTTCAGTGAAAATTAAGGAGTATTTTTTTTTCCATTCAAGTTTTCGGTTCTCTGCTTTAGAGAGTATTGGTCTTTGTTTTTATTTTTAGTTTTCATAGATGTCACAAACTATTGCCATACTCCACTGTTTTGGTTTTGCCCTAGATATAGCACTCTGGCTTTTATACTATTTAATTGATCCTAGTTTATTTTAACTACAAAAATTCTTGATTTGAGAGGTCTGTTGTCTAACATTTTAACATAGCCACCCAGGAGTTTTTAACTAGGGGCTTGAACATGGTGGAGTGTTATGTCAGACTCCAAGGGAAGGAGTAAAATTCCAGAAACAGCAGCAGAATGTGAGGAGAGCACTTTTGTTCCCCTGTCCTGAGAGTTAGAGTATTTTCTGTTAGGAAGCATTTGTACGGAGTATTTACTTAAAGAGATGTGAATAGTGATACCCAAGATCCAGTTTTTGCAAGTATATACATTTGTTTAGAACTTTGTAGTTCATACAGCCATTCAAATACAGTATCTTACTTGATAATTACAGGTCCATGAAGTAGATTTGACAAAGTTATTATTATTCCCATATATATGGGATATGGAAACTGAGGCTTAGTTGCTTATTTGAAGATAAACAGAGCCTTACATCTTTAAAGATACAGGTTATTGCTTTGTCAAATAAATGTAATCATTTTGTTAGATGTATGATTGTTCTTGGGATTAAACATATGAATTTAGGAAAACAGTTTTTATATTTGAGATGGAATCTCTGATTTTATATTTTCTAAAATGTCATTGAAACCTCATTTTATAAAGGCTTATTAGGGGGATTGTTAATCCTGTTTTCATGACCTTGAACTGCTCATTTCACACCAATTGAGTAATTTTGCCCTATTTGATTTGCCATGAAAACACTTTGGACTTTGATAAAAGGGCCAGCATTTGATCACTTTGTAGTACATGCATAAGTGCAATGTTTGTGGTTGTTAGTTATGGGAGAAAAACAAAAGGACATTTGATTATTCTATAACAGAATGTGGAATATGTAACAATACATATTTGGAATAGGTTTTATAAGGAGGTAAATAGTAGATACTCAAATACTGATTAATGAATACATTTTTGATTAATGAATGAGTTAATTGATTTCCATGAGTTATTAGGAAGAAAAGATACAAGCGTGAAAACATGCTGATTCTAGGATGGCAGGATTTAAATAGATTATACTACAGTAGGTAACTCCTACATGAGAAATGTATATACTTTCTCTCAGTAAAATTCACACTAGTTCAGAGTAAACTCTTGGTATAGAAATTCTGTAGGAATTCACTAAAATCAAGTAGATTGACTATCTTTGGTGCTGTTGGGGGTTTTATTACTATTTTTCACTATTTTTAGTGTTATGATTTGCCAGATTTATTTTTCTGTCTTGTCTTTACTTGTAAAGTGCCAATTGAAGGGGTCCAGACAGTAATGCTGCAAGGTTTCAGAGGAAGGACCTCCAATTGAAGGGGTCCAGACAGTAATGCTGCAAGGTTTCAGAGGAAGGACCTCCATTTACTAGGATATTTGTGGAATAAGTGAGATCCTCTGTGCTACCCTTGAAGTATAAATAGCATCTAGCCAAGCAGAAAGGTGTGGAGAGGTATTCTAGGAAAATGGAATGGCATTAGGAAAGTATACAGGGGATGTTTCAAAGTGAATAATTGTAATTAGATCTGAGGGTTTGTGTTGGGCAGGAAATGGTTAAAGAAGTATTTTGGCGTCAGATTATAGAAATCCTTGAACACCTGGAAGAGATTTGGATTTTGCTTTGTAGGCTTATGCTCTTGTAATTGGGGTACACGTCCTTGTGAGGGCACAGCTAAATGAGATATGCAAGTCATGGTAGAGGAGAGGTGGTACACAAAGTTAATTGCAAAGGCAAAGATGCCTCCTGGGTTCTAAGCTTTTATGAGTGGAAGCATGGTAGTGCCATTAATATATATAAAGAAATAAGGCATGGACATATATACACTACCAAACGTAAGGTAGATAGCTAATGGGAAGCAGCCGCATAGCACAGGGAGATCAGCTCAGTGCTTTGTGACCAGCTGGAGGGATGGGATAGGGAGGGTGGGAGGGAGGGAGACGCAAGAGGGAAGAGATATGGGAACATATGTATATGTATAACTAATTCACTTTGTTATAAAGCAGAAACTAACACACCATTGTAAAGCAATTATACTCCAATAAAGATGTAAAAAAAAAGAGAGAGAAATAAGGAGGAGAGTGTGAAAAGGTAAAAGGGAGAACCAGCAGAGGCTGTAAGGTATTGATGAATTTGTTATTTGATAAATTGAGTTTGAAGAGGCTATAGGATATCAAAAGGAGAAATGGCAGGTAGGCAATGGAAGAAGGGGAACTGGAGAGAGATCTGGGAGTAATATGTAGATTTGGGAACTTTATTCATGGAAAAAGATGAGTCCATGAGAGTAGATAGAATTTCTGAGGGCCAGAGTAGAAGAGATGACTGAATATTGTCCATTGGTCCACAATGCTTAAGACTAGGATGGATTAGGGCTTTAAAGATGGGTTCAAGTTGGAGATAATCCTTGGAGAGTATAGTAGTATTGTGGAAGCAAACTGAAGGTCAAGTTTGAGAAAAGAATATTGTTATTAGTAAGTAGTAGAGAAACCAAAGGGAATGTGGTCTAAGAGGTCACTAGATTTGACAGTTGTGTTAGTGGTACAATTAGAACACTTTTGGCAAACTAGTGAGGACAGAAGGACACAATTTTGTGAACCATAAAGAAAAAAAATCCTTTTTCTTTCTCTACCAGAATTCTCTCTCAATCTGAGCTTTATATACAGAAAAAAACTCACTTAATGTTCCTAAATGGAACAAAATGAAACATATTGTGTGAGAATTATAAAAAATTGGAAAACAGAGACAAAAATTGGTATATTAAATAATGCATTATTTTGCATTTGAAAGCTTCCTATTTTAAGCCATTTTGGCATTCTCGCTCTAAAAAGTCAATTTGGACAGCTTGAATGTGGTTCTGAAAAAAAGAAAACCTACTCTTGCCTTTATTCTTTTGTATTTTTTGGAACAAAATATTTATGTAGGATCCACATAGATCATCCATATTTGCATGTATCATACAGTAAAAACATATATTGGATAATTTAACATACAGAATGCTGAATATTTATTGACTAATGTGAGTCACTGTATAGCTTGGGCACTAACCTTTAAAATTTGGATTTAATTCAAGACTTTATTTCTCCTTGGTAGTTTCTTTAAAAACGTATTTAAAAATAAATACTGACAAGTGATACTATGGTCAAAATATCCTCTAATAATTCTTGAGGATTTAGAATTTAAATTATTTAAATTAGAAATAACATAATCATACTTCTATTGGATGTCAATAAAAACTGCAAGAATTGGACTTCCCTGACTCCATGCCTCCACTGCAGAGGGCACGGGTTTGATGCCTGGTCGGGGAACTAAGATTCCGCATGCTTTGGCACAGCCAAAAAAAAAAAGCTACAAGGATTAAAATTTCTATAATTTAGGGGACTGAGTCTTTATTGAATTTGGAAACATACATGAACATCTCTCAGACTATTTAAACATTTAGTTACTTGTTATGATTCTTAATTGCTTGAAAACCTACACATAAGTATTAGACTCACACTGTGTTCAGGGGGAATAAATGATAAAACTTTAACTTGATGCCACCAATACATTCATTCTTATTGTATTCTGACAAGATCCCTTTAAAATTATTTGTTTTCACAATATTAAGTGTTAAAATATGTATACAGTACAGATAAGTTAACAAACAAGTTAAGCTACAGCAGTACTTGATATTTAAAGTCAATATGACTTAGCAGTTATGATCTACTGTATATAAGACTGTGAATCTATTTCAGTACAGTATTTCATCCTGCTTCATTTGGCTTCATAAACAAAGCATACCAAACATTTACTCCAAATTATTTTGTAGCAAAATGAAGTATCAGTTTTAAGATTCATATTATCGATTTTCACATGTACTCTGAACTGACTGAATTTTAGTTTTGAAATTAATATTACAGCATTTAAGAAATGTACAGTTATTAGTCCTTTATAGTTATTCAAGTTTAGAATTTTAGCAAGAAAAGTAGTTTTTAAACTGAGGAAGTTGTAAAATTAGCTCACATGATGACTTTGAAAATAAAAGTCTCTTTGTAAGTTTTTTATTTAGAAAGGTTATTTGAAAATTCACCCATTGGTTACAATTCAGATTGTGACCATCTAAAATTGATTCGCACATCACAAAATATATGAATAAATGATCATAAGAATTTTGATTGAGAAAGGTAAATGGTGTTCTTTGAGGTGATGTGATGATATGTTTAATATTAAGTTGGTAGTGGCTTTAATATAAAGAATTTATTTCTAAAGCCTTCTATTAGGGATTTAATACCAGATTTTTAAACCACAGTAATTTCGGATGAGTTTAATGTTTAATTTATTGGCTTTTTAAATTGCCTCAGTTCATTCAGAATTTTCTGAATCTGTTGGGCGGATCAACATTTTGGTTGATTTGATAGAGTATAACCTTCCATTTTGAGACTTCCAGCATATTCCTCTTCTCCTCTCTGGCTTAGTCTTTGCTTTTGCCTTGTTATATTTACCATTTAGGTTGTTTTCCCCACATACATCATGGCACCACCAACCTCCTAAAAAGGATAGATACGCAGTTTAATAGATACAAACTCATACGTAGTTACTGTTATTATATTTCTCCAGTGAGTATATCTTCATTTCTTATAAATATAACAGTGTTGTATACATATATTCCAATTTAAAATAATTTATACAAGTCTCATATACCTGACCAAAAATAAAATATCTGAGAAAGGTTAGAGGTAAAATACGTACTCAAACTAGAATCAAGTTAACACTTACGTTGAGACGTTTACCTATAGAGAAAATGTTTATATTGGATTCAGATTTTAAAGAATTGTCTGACATTGAAAGATATTAGCTATTACTTTGGGAAGATATTTTGAAACTTTGAAAATAAAGTATTTATATTAGGAACAGGTTACCTGAATTACTTTCTGGACAATTGAAGTGTCCTTTTGCTTTGTGATCCCAAGTAGAAAACATCAAATCTTTGTGTTCCGGGAGTGCGTTGGGGACATTGCCAGCAATCTCAACTAGATGTAGTGTATAGTTGGTTTCATGATCTCCCAGGTGAAAAGAATATTCAATATAATGCTTGTTGTCTTTCCAATCTTCTAGCTCAATTCGTAAGATATATTTAGATTGCTTTACTAGGGAGTATATCTTCTCTAGACCCAACCAAAATTCTCCTGAAAAGAAAAGTTGTAAAAATCTGTGGATTGTTAACTGCAGATTAGGCAGCAACTATTTTTTTTGAGAGTGTTCTTTTTTTCTTTGGTGTAAGTAGATTAGATGTTTTAGTCTTGAATCCCTTGGTTATTTTAGAGTCTCGTAAAATATTTCTTTTTAAAACAATTTTATTCAAGATAGTTATGTTAAAATAGTAATAGGTGTTAAAATACAACAAGTGTTAAAATAGTAATAGGCCTACCTAAAGTCTGATTATCCTTTCTAAAATGGATATTATCAGGCATATTTCACAGGTGAAACGTGTTAGACTATGATAAGTACTTTTAGGGCTAGTCATTGGTAAAATATTATCTAACTTCTGGGTCCTTATATGTACTGGATTTACTGTCAGCTGTTTATTAATATGAATATACTATCAAGAGATTTGTTAAGTATTTCCAGAGACTTGTATAATAATGTAATTTTCCTCAAATATAATCTTGGCCTTTGATATTTGCTTGATATATACGTTTTCTTTGTAGAAAAAGAAGGAAATAAATTAAAAAAACATTTTAAATTAAAACATAATTTTTAATAACTTCTCTATAATTAAAAATTTTTATTTGGAATTAAAAATATAACATATTGTAAATACAAATAGATATCTCTGATTATCACAATTACTCTCTAATTATCCCTTTTATTAAAGCATTTAAGGAAAAAAAGTCAAAATTTCCTTACTGCTGTTGAATTTGTAGATTTCATTTTAAGAATTGCAAAATACAAATGGCTTACTTTCTTGTAGAAATAAGTGAGTACTCTAGATTCTCTCAGAAGAAGATTTGGAGCTACAAAACATATCACTGATCCTACCTTTTAGTTAGGGATTTAACTGGTAGTTTGAATACAGAATTGTTTAAATGATCAAGTAGTACTGAATGTTTAAAAATTCGATATAATAATGGATGTTATCCACTTTATTAATGAATACATGTACATCACTCATGGATTTTTATAATATGCTTTTTGGATTTTAAACCTGTCATTTATTTTTATTTTGCTTATTTTGTTTTTTACCTTATTTTGTGGTCAAAATATAACAATTTTCATTGAACTAAACTAAATTTATTTTAAACCACACATTGTATAGTATACATTTATCATATTTAAATAATTGAAATCTAAACATTTTGTACTGTACATCTGACAGCTTCCTTGTGCCTTCCAACTTCCAAATAGTTAATATCTAAAATGTTAATAAGAAAGTAGAATGACCAGTGATAAGGATGGTTTTCTTTGTAGCCCATTCATAGCATTTAGCACTTATTTGAAGCACTTAGCCCTTAATCAAATTTATCTTTGATAATTATAATTATGATAATTAGAAGCCATCCAATTAAATTGTGATAAGTATACATAGAACAGACATGTAATTGTGAAAAGTATAATTCAAATAAAGACACTTGTAATAAGTTCAGTACTTACAAATGTGTAGTTATTTGTTAATAATTTATATGAAGGCTGGGAGTGTTCCTCATTCATTGTATTTCTAATGCCCAGTCTGTAATAGGCTCTTAATAAATATTTTTAAGTTAACCAGTGAATGAAGTCAGCTTACCATCAAGCCTCCCAAAACCATATTTGTAGTTTTCCCAAGTTTCATTGAAGTTTTGTGATCCATCTATTCGGTGTTGAATTAATGTCCATGAACTACCTGAATATAATGAACAGATTGTTTATTTTCAGTAGACTGATGCTGATAGTTGTAACAAAATGCGGTTTTTTGTTTGGTTTTAATTGGTGGCTGTACAAGGTAGTTATTAATGTTGTTATGGTAATAACATTTTATTATTTATTATGAGCCCAAGAAGTTAAGTGAAGGGCAACTAATGAATTTGTCTTAATAAACTTATTGACAAAGGTCATTTTAGATTATTTTATAGAAAAAGATGGAGAATATTGAGTAAATGCCTGATTAAATACATAAACAAGACAAATATAAGTACTAGATCTGTATAACTACTTGTGTTATATATATTTCATTTTATATGTATTCAGAACAAAAATAACAGGATTAGCCTTACTAATAGGTAGTGAGTAACCTGAGCTAGCTACTGTCTAGTTTCTCTTAGGCTCGTTTTACCTGATGTAACATCACAGTAGACGTTGAAAACTTGAGAGTTGCTGGGTCTAATGGAATAGATGCCACTTGTATGTTCACCTCTATTATAAATGATGGTACAATCAGCAGGAATGTCTAGAATCAACAAAATGTTATTACGTAAGATACAGTAATAAAGAATGATATCTTTAGAGCTTGAGATTTTACTTGACATTTTATGGAATTGTGGTGACTGTAGCCTTCAGTCTTTTTCAGTAATGTGTTATTGAAAAGGTACTTTATGCTAAAGCATTTTTATTAGATGGCATGTTATACAAAGAATATCAAAATAGTTATTACCAAACTGATATTTTTAAGAAAAGTGACAAAATTAGAATTTTAAACACTTTTTTCCCTTAGATCTAGGAAAGACATAAATAAAATACCACATATGAGATGTTAGTATAGTGCTTGGTGCATAGCAGGTAGTCAACAGATACATGAGGAAAGAGTGAACGTACATAGAGGAAACTAACAGAGAACTTTTTTCCTTTATGAATTACATTAAAAATAAATGTGTTTTCAAACTATATCATTTTTTTAAAGCTTGGGTAGGAATGGAGACTTTGTTCCCCCTCTTTTTTGTTTTTCTTATGGAAAGTAGAAACATTGAAGAGAATGCCATAATCTTTTCATCTGTATTCAACAGTTGTTAACATTTTGCCATATTTGCTTTATAAACACAAATACATACAAATATGTATTCTGCTGTGCTATTTGAAAGGAATTTGCAAACATCATGCCCCTTAACCCCTTAGATATTTTGGCATCCATCTCTTAAACATGAGATTATTCTCTTACGTAACTATAATACCATCATTACATCTAGGAAAATTAATAATAATTTTATATTATCTAATATCAAGTCTATATTTATATTTCCCTGATTGTCTTAAGAATGTTTTATAGGGTTTAAAAAAATCACCAGGATCCAATTTAGGTTGACATATTATATTTGTTGGATTTATCTCTTTATTCTCTTTTAGTTAGTCTAGAACAGGCCCTGAGAATAGAGATTTTTGATGGAAATGTCAAAGAAGAAAAATTTGACGATATTAGTTTCAAGAAGGAAACCCACCAAATTATCTTACCATCATGTTCTACATTTTTTGTTTCATTCAAGTGAAGAGAGGGAGTAGTTCTTGGTGCTCTTGGTTTAGAAGAAAGAGAATTTTCTGTGGATTCTTGAACACCAGTTCTTCTTAACTGATAAAAGAATATAAATCTACTTTTAAAAATGGTACTGAATATACAGTTAGGGGAAATCTGAGTTCATAATATGTTATTGTTTTCGATGTTAAGAGGGATAAACAATGCTATACATATTATACAGACTTGCTGTTCTCAAAATATTTAATCAGGCACATAAAGAGTTCAAAAAAATAGAGAAAGACAAGGCAAAAAACAGAAATTGATCAAAAAACAGTAAGATCAAAGGCAGAGACTTTACTTAGAATATTTTAATATGTTCTATTTATTTATATGAATGTAATATATATTCTGTTCAGTGACACAGGCAGATTTTAAATTTCATAATTCTCAGTTGTAGGTCTTAAGACCTAGCACATAATTTGAACAAGGCTGCTTTCTTGATAGTTTTTGACATGTAATCATATCTGTAAAGGTAACAAATAGGCAGTTTTATTTGTGTACTTTCAATATATTCAATATTTCATTGTCTGTTGTGCTGGGTTTGCAGTTTATTGACCGATAGCTTTTCTTATTGATGGGTTGAGAAGAGCAGAGTACGTAATGTGTTATTAGTGTTAGTTTTTTGAAGTCAGCATAAATGGCATTTCCTAGGATATAATACATAAAGATCCATTGTAAAGTTCACTTACTGGATGTTAGTCTTTTCTACTAAGTAACTGTGATCTTATAGTAACTTAACTTTACAGTTTTGGTTTCTTAATTTAAATTTGAATACGTTGGGTCAGATGATTTAAGGCTTCTTCCAACTTAGAATTCATTGTTGAATTCTTCGTACATTTTATTATTAGACAGGATGTATATTATTTTATAATAGTGACATTTTGCTTTTGTGAGCAGGTTCATTTACTCATAATAAAAGATACAGGAAAAGAATTAGAAAAATAACATATAGTAAGAAGGAAATTATGGAAATCAAAACTAGCTGGCAAAAACCCCTTTTCAGACAGTTAGCAAAAATAACCTACTAAAATTATGAGTCATAAAATTACTGAAACATAATGTGTTTGTTTGGTGGAAATTGGTAATATTTGTTTTATAGTTCTTGGCATCTGTTTTTTTTTTATACCAGTTTCTTCAGGTCTGTATTATTTTTGAAACTCTCTTGAACAGCTGTTTAGTAGTATTATTACTAATTAATATTTTTGAACTATAGTACTGTTTATTGGAAATCTTAGATTTTGGCATAGCTTTATTCCAAACACGTACCTACCTTGCTCACCTAGCCAGTTATTTACATTGTAGATTAATTATATTGTTGGGTATTAAACTTTAATTATTAGACATATAGCTTCTAATAATATTAATCATAGTAAGTTTTTATTGACTTCTTTGTGCTAAATGTGACATTACGTTTATTAACATGTATTTATTAAGTGCCTACTATGTGTCAGACAGAGTTCTATATTTTGGAGCTATAGCAATTTTAAAAAATAGAAGAAACTTTCTGTACTTATGGAGCTTACATTCTAGTGCAGGGACAGACAAGATAAATAACTCAAATATGTATTATGTTAAATAGGGATAACTGTTAAGGAAGAAAAGAGAGTAATGAAGGAGGTAGCAGGTTTCAAGCATGGGTGTAGGGGATTATAATTTCTTTCTTTTTTTTTTTTTTCTTGTTGAGTTTTTGTCTAGTTCGTTTATTAGAATGTACATAAATATCCACATTGAATGGAATTAAACATGAATATGGGATCATGGTGTAGAGGACAGGTCACTGACCTAGGAGTTAGCCCATCTGTGTTCTGACCCAGCTCTGACACATGACTGCGAATATTCCAGTTTGTCTAGAGTATAAGGTGGATTGGGAGGTAAGGCAAGAGGCCAAATAGGTAAGAAGCAAAAGAATAGGTGGCACCTGGGGGATTATAATTTATGATTAAGTTATCTGGGAAGGCTTCTTTGAGAAATTTGTATTTGAGAAAGACCTAGAGTGAGTAAGAGTGGGCCCATGCAGATACCAGGGTGAAGAGCATTCCAGACAGAGAGCAACAAGGGCAAAGACCCTGAGATAGCAGCCTGTTTGATGTGTTTGTGTAACAGTAAAAAGGCCAGTATGACTAGAGTACAGGAGATGAAGTCAGTGAGATGATTAAGAGTCATCTGGGTCTTATGGGCCAATACGAGAGAGACCAGAAGCCATTGTGCGGTGTTGAACAAAGAGAGAGAGAGTCTAATTTAAATTTTAACTGAATCTCTTTGGCTGCTATATCGAGGATGTACTTGGCATGAATTAATTCTTTTTTTTTCACAACAGTCCTGTAAGACAGATTCTTTTATTATCTACATAGAGTACATTAGGAAACTGAGAAGGGGTTAAGTAATTTATTCAAGGTCACACAAAAGTTTTGGAGCCAAAATTCAACCCCAGGTAGTGTATTAGCTTCAGAGCCTGCAAATCTAATGATCATCCTGAGGTGATCCTTTTATTCACTATCCAACTATAATTATTTTAAATAATTTTAGGGTCCAGTGTTTTCATAAACCTAAATTTTATGTAAAAGATTGGACATACTATTAAAATATTGACTTACCTGATTTTCAATTTCTTTTATTTGACTGTGCTGTTGATTTAATTGTCTGTATTGTTCTTCCACGATCTGAAGAAGATCTTTGATGCTATTATCTTGCTGTTCTACAAAAGTCTGGACATAAATTATAGGTTGGTTAGAAGTTTCTTTCTTTTTTGTTAAATTAGACTTTTTTATTTCCTATAACACTATCACAATCTAATTTTTTAAACTAATACTGGATTAGAAAAATGATATTGGTAAACCTTTTCCCCTTGTATTCTTCTTTCACATAGTACATACTTGAGTTTTTGTGTTTTATTTAAAATGTACCATCTCTAAAAGCTGATTTCTTGAACTTTAAACTACTTCAATTAAATGAAAAAAAACAGTATTTTAATATCTTTTCCATTAACTGTATTACTTTTATACATTTTAAAGATGGGAGAATAGTTACACAAGTTATATTCCTTTAGCTTTTTACTTGCCTCCAGTAATTTGCAATAGTATAATAATTTAGTGTTCTAAATTTCATTGCTTAACTGTCTTGTAATTTTCATCTGAAATGCAAAGTTTAGTTATTTTCATAAATAATATTAGGGAAACAAAAACCAACTTGAAATTATAATGGGAAAATTTATTTCCTGGAGTCTTTTTTTCATGAGAAAAATACAGTGTTTCAACAGTTCAACAAAGTATTTCAACTAGCATGTTTTAAAATATTTTTTTAAAAAGATCCACATTGAAAACATAATCATGAACCCTCTTTGTTTTATACTTACTTTGAGTGAAGTTATTTCCGGGTGTTCCTGAATTTCAGGTTGATTTTTAATTAAATTGGTTAATTGGTCCTCCAGGTATCTCACTTTTTGTTGAAGTAGAATTTTTTCTTCAAGGAGACTTTCAAGTTTTGAGTTGAGTTCAAGTGACATGTTCTTTACTTCTTCATTTTTGACTTGCAGTCTGGATGTAGTTCTTCTAAGTTCCTTTTCTTCTTCTTTGATTTCATTGGTTTGCAGTGATAAGTCATAAAAAGACTGATCAAATATGTTGAGTTTTTGAAATATGTCATTAATTTGGCCCTTAGTCTTATGAACAAAGTCTTTAAGACCATGTCCTAACTGAAGTAGGCCATTGGCTAAAATTTTTACATCATCTAACATAGCAAATCTTGATTTTGGCTCTGGAGATACAGAATCAAATGATGAATAATCTTGGTCAATTCTGGAAGAAATAACTAGAGGAGCAATAAAAAGAAGGAGCTTAATAGTGTACATTTTTATCCTAATTATTCACTTTAAAACGATTTGGAATTCGTTTTTTTTCCTGCAAGCATACCTAGACTTCTGAACTCTCTATATAACACTATTTGCCACATAAACAGTAAGGTTGGCAGGTGAATATAGTTAATCATTAAGCTGTTTAAACTTGTATGAATGTAACCTTCCACATTGAGTTAGATCAATGCTAAATGAAGTCAAAGAAATGAACAAAGAATTTAATAGGTCATTTAAAATGGTTATTGTATTTAATTTTGCTGTATTATAAACTGCACTTTCAGTGTTATGAGATCTACCTGTTTTTAAAAGCTCATTTTAATTTATCATGATTTTTAAAGAGATTTACAGGGAAATACCAAATTCTTTTGACTGATAAATTCATCATTAAAGTTGAGGAAAAATTAATGAATTAAGTATACATTTCCCAAATTGTATTTTAGTTTTTTTTGGAAACAGTGATCGATTAAAAAAGAATGCCTTCTCTGTGAAGCCTTCCTCCACATCTGCAGGTGGTGTTAATGCTGCATTCCCATGGTACTCTGTATAAGCTAACATATGATTATATATTCCTTATTATTTGTCATTGTAATTATTTGTTAGTATATCTTTTTGCTTCAGATAATCTATCTAAGTCATATTTGTATATTATCACAAAATCCCATACATTAAAATATATTTCATCCTTTTTCTCTGTTATAGTCTATGTCTCTATGTTCTAGCCTCCTCTTTTCCGTGTGCCCACTGTAAGACCAATAGATTATGTGGTTTTCTAAGGTCAACCAGAATTAAATATTGGGTTGACCAAAAGAAAGGTTTGTTCATTTTTTTCCATAAGATGGCTCTAGTAGTGCTTAGTTGTCTTTAACTTCATTCAAAACAATTTTGTTAGATTGTATGTGATAGCTGTCATATCAGTGTGCATTTAAAAAAAGACTTACAAAATTGGTGAATTTTTGTGTAGCCATTTTAATATTGAAGATGGAAGAAAAAGCAACATTTTGGCATATTATGCTTTATTATTTCAAGAAAGGTAAAAATGCAGCTGAAATGCATAAAAAGACTTGTGCAGTGTATGGAGAAGGTGCTGTGACTGATCGAACATGTCAAAAGTAGTTTGCGAAGTTTTGTGCTGGAGATTTCTCACTGGACGATGCTGCACTGTCGGGTAGACCAGTTGAAGTTGGTAGTGATCAAATCGAGACATTAATTGAGAACAATCAACCTTATACCACACGGGAGACAGCCAACATAGGCAAAACATCCAAATCAAGCGTTGAAAATCATTTGCACCGGTTTTGTTATGTTCATTGCTTTGATGTTTGGGTTCCACATAAGTTAAGTGAAAAACAACCTTCTTGACTGTATTTCTGCATGTGCTTCTCTACTGAAACGTAATGGAAATGTTCCGTATTTAAAACAAATTGTGATGGGCAATGAAAAGTGGATACTGTACAATAATGTGGAACGGAAGAGATCATGGGACAAGAGAAATAAACCACTACCAACCACAGCAAAGGCTGGTCTTCATCCAAAGAAGGTGATGTTGTGTGTATGGTGGGATTGGAAGGGAATCCTCTATTATGAGCTCCTTCCGGAAAACCAAACGATTAACTCCAGCAAGTACTGCTCCCAGTTAGACCAACTGAAAGCAGCACTCAACAAAAAGCATCCAGAATTAGTCAACAGAAAACGCATAATCTTCCATCAGGATAATGCAAGACTGTATGTTTCTTTGATGACCAGGCAAAAACTGTTAAGCTTGGCTGGGGGGTTCTGATTCATCCACCGTATTCACCAGACATTGCACCTTCGGATTTCCATTTATTTCGGTCTTTACAGAATTCTCTTAATGGAAAAAATTTCAATCCCCTGGAAGACTGTAAAGGGCACCTGGAACAGTTCTTCACTCAAAAAGGTAAAAAGTTGGGAAGATGGAATTATGAAGTTACCTAAAAATGGCAGAAGGTAGTGGAACAAAAGAGTGAATACATTGTTCAATAAAGTTCTTGGTGAAAATGAAGAATGTGTCTTTTATTTTTTTTATGAACCAAAGGCACTTTTTGGCCAACCCAATACTTACAATGTCAGAAACTATTTGCCCATTATAAGTTTTTCTAAAGTTTGTGTGCTTGGTAACAATATTCATGATCTAAGTTTAACAAAACCAAAAAATTAATAGTATGATTAAAAATAATGTTCCCCTGTGCTTCTAACTTAGTGTTAAAAGGAAAAATACTAAATGTTTCAATTAAATTATAAGTGATTATTTTTCTTGAGTGTTCATATTAAGAACTATTTTTGAGAAAATAATAAATACTTTTAAAATGCCTTATCTTGATAAATTAATATAGTAAAATTGTTAAGAGTGTGGTCTTTGGAATCAGATTATGGTCTGGTCCAGAAGCCAGATCTAGCTATCCTGCTAGGTTAAGGTTAAGTTACTTAACCTTCCCACACCTCAGTCTCCTCTTCTGTAAGTTGGGTATTTTTTTTTAGTACATACTTAAGGAGAAGCAAAAGAAGTAATATGTGTAAAGTACTTAGAACAGTGTCTGGCAAATAGGAAGTACTCAAAATGTTAGTTATTATGTCCATGAAATTACCTTTTAATTTGTGTGTGTGTATGTGTGTGTGATTAGCCCTATCTAAATGAAATTTTTCATAAATGCAATAGCTCTTTTGCAAAGGGAAAAGTTTTAACATAATGAATTTCAGTTTAAATGGTAAATTATCAAGCAAAACTTTACAAAATTTATCATTTCCAAATTTATTCTTAGAAATGCTTCTTCCTGGAGTAAAACAGAGACCCTTTCTTTTGATGATTTAGGATTAAGGGCTTTTGGATAGAACAGTTGCAGTAGATGTCATAAACCACAGTGGCTAAGAGTTTGATTCTGGAGAGAGACTGGATGAATTGCAATCCTGGCTGTGCTGTTCTTCAGCTCTGTGAAATTACTTAGCTTTTCTCACCTCTGTTTTCTTGTCTATCAAGTGAAGATAATACCTACTCTATAGAGTTATATAAAGACTAAAAATATTTTAAAGCACTTAGAGCACTACCTAGTGTTTAGTAAACATTGCACAGTATTATGTATTAGTATTCTTTTGTAATTAAAAAGGCAATGCACTTATGTAATATTGCTGTAATATTTTATTGGTAAATATTATCTAGTCTTATGTTAAGATGACATAAATTGGGAAGTTTTGCTAGAGTCTGGGTTTTCTGAGTTTGGTCTCTTGGACCTTGATAAGTACAAGGAATTATGTCTTTTGTTTAGCCTGTGTATACTTTTTCTAAGTGTCCAATACAGAACCACATAAATACTTCTGTTTGTAAGAGAAATATAGAATGCAAGTAGATAAAAATATACTAATACTTCCACTAATGAAGAAGAAAAACAAAATATTTTTCCTTATTCTTCATTTTCATCTTACATTTACCACTGGTACATGTTATGGAATTATAGAAGTGTATGTTGAACTAATGAAGAAATTTGAATTTCCTCCCTCTTTTTAAAAGAGATATGTTAGTGTTGTGATCATTGGTCCTGAAGGGCATATTTCGAAACTTCTCCTAACTAAACTGTCTACTTTTCTGGCTTAAAACTATTGACCCTGATATTTCATCCATTTTCTAGTTGAGGGGGAATGGAGATGGGCCAGCTTCTTGTCTCTATTGTACTATAAGCTGTTCATTGGTAAGATCTATATCTGTTTTAAATTTATATCCTGTATAGCACTTTAGTACAATGCCTAACATGCTGGAGAAACCATACATTTTTATTGAATGAGTAAGATAATGATAGAGTCTTAACATGGGAGTTTTTCAAACACAAAATTTGCATATAATAGATACACCTTTTTGATATAGGAGGTTCTTTTCAGAGAAAGGAATTTGAAAAGTAGTCCCTCCCAGTGCATGAAAGTAACTGGACACTAATACCAAAGAAAGGCTGTGTGAAGGAATTTCCTTCTATTTGGTTACTCTGCTGGAGTATTGACACTTTTTGCACAATTTATCTATTTCCTCACATGTAACACAAAAAGATAGATTAGAGGCAGTGGTTGCATATTCTTGGTTTATAGTATATTGTCTCTGGGTAGAAATATCTGGATAATTTTTTTTCTTACCATAGTTTGACATGTTATTTAATATAATTAAAATAAATAATTTGCCTAATTATAAGCTGTGGAAGAGTGTCAACATGGGAAATGTAATGAAAGTAGTAATTTTGTAAATGATTTTTACATCTACCTTTTAATGCCCCCTGTCTGAGTACACATTGTTAAAGGCAGAATCTAATCTTTGCTTGAACTTGTGCCTGTTTAAATAGAACTCTGATAAGATGTAACCAGTAATGTTATAAAAACTTAAAATTTTTATGCCAAAGAAAATAAGAAACTAAGCAAAATTAAGACCTAATTTAAGAATTCCTAGTTTCAAAGAACTAATATACAAAATTTCTTAGCTGCTTAGAATTTTAGGACATTTGGGAGCTTTGTTTAAATTCCAAGCAAAGCAAAGTCCCTTATCCTCCCCCAGGTTGTGCAATCTTATGGAGATTTGAGTTCCAAATAAAACACAAGGCATTTGGGGTCTGTTGAATATAGTATCACTAGTAATTTCTTCCTTTTAAACTGTGGTCATTTGTTTTTGAATTAATATATTCGGTAGAAAGATTCTAAAAGTAACTGAGAAAAGCATATTTATAAATAGAAATATTTATAGTAACTAAAGAATAATGCCAGAGTAATATCAATACGTTAGCTCCCTTTTCCTCTCTTTGTCCAGAACAGCACTGTCCAATGGAAATATAGTGTGAGCTATATGTGTAAAAAACTGAAAAGAAACAAGTGAAATTAATTTTAATAGTATGTTTTGTTTAATCCAAATCTAGTATGTATTTTATACTTTCAGGATATCTCAGTTAGAACAGGTACACATCAAGTACTCTGTAGTCTCACTAGACCATATTATTGGACAGCAGAGGTCCAGAAGATGAGTGACTTTCGAAGGAATCATTTTGTTTATCTTAGCTTTTTTCTCATGTTCACTATTAATAAATGTTAATTTGTTATGTTGAAAGTATTTATCGTGGAAACTCAGATATTTGAAAAACCTATAAAAAATAAAAATCCTGACTCTTGCCTATTAACATTTTGGGGTCTATCGTACCAGTTCCCTTGGATGACTACCTAAATGTAATTTTTTTTTTTAACACAAATGGGAGTGCGTTATATATAGCTTGTGTTATATATATAAATTGATTCAAGACCATAACATTTTAAAGTTTACTTTCATATGAGTGCCTGTACCATATCCTTTTAAATGGCTACACAATCTTTTATTATATGGATGCACCTTAATTTAATCATCTGCCTGTCAATGATCATTTCAGTTGCTTGTAATTTTTTGATTACAAACAATATGCATAGAAAAGGTGTTTATATTTGTGTAAAAATATTTTCATATGATAAGTTCATAGATGTTAACTTTCAAAGTAGATTTCTCTTGTCAGATTATCCTTTAAAAGAATTGTGCCAATTTATATCCCTACCAAGAGTATATGAGAGTTCCTCTTTTCCCATGAATTTTTACCAATGCTTTAAATTGACAAAAACAAAAAATATTGATAAACCTAGTAGGCACATATATCTAGTTTATTTTGCTGTCTGTCTTGCTCTCTTTGTGAATTACCTGAGAATTATCTGAGTCTCCCTCCCCCCATCAAACTCCCCACCCCTTTTTTGTTTGTCTCTTTCTGAATAATTTTAGGAATTATTCACATGTGATGGATACTAACTCTTTGTCATGTGTGTAGCAAACAGTGTTCTTCCAATTTGTCCTTTGTCTTCCACTTGTGTTTATGGTATCCCCTGCTCTGTAGAGGCTTTAAAATTTGTCTTTTATGATTTTTTGTGGCTCATGCTCAGAAATGCCTTCGTCACCTATAAAATATGGTCTCTTTAAAGGTTTTCTAGTACTTGTATGGTTTTATTTTTATTATTTAAAACTTTGATTTAATCTGGAATTTATTTTGAGGAAGTGGTGAAATATGAATTCAGCCTTAAAAAAGGTCAGTCAGCTATCTCAGCAACTCAACACTTTTCATTGATCTACCTTCTCTCTGCTGATTTAAAATTCCTCTGAAGGAGTATTATAAATGCACGGTAAAGACTTACTGGGTTTATGTGGAAATTTATTAGTGGAGTTAGCAGTCAAATGAAAAAGAGTCTAGGCTAAATGCATGCCTTTCACCTTCATAGACAAGTTGAATTTAAAATTGTATTGCTTATATTAGAAATCAAGCATAGCTTAATGTTCAGTTAATTCGCATTTCATATGAAAATTCAAACTCCAGAAGAGTTAAGTAACTAAAATATTATGTGAGTTCTGTACTATTCATTCATTCATTCAATCAATCATTTATTCATATGAGGAACTATTCTAGGCATTGGAAATATAGCAGTTAACTAGATTCGTAAGGTCCTTGCCCTCATGGAATTTGGGCTTTATTTAAGGAGATACATAAACAAGAAATAATGTACAAACAAACAAGATAATTTAGGATTATCTTAAGCAGATTATTTAAGAGTTGTGAATGGGATAACAAAGTGATGTTATGTGGGGAGGTAAAGTGAGGCTTTCTAAGACTCGAAAGATGGGAAGGGGCCAGTTATGTCCATATCCACAAAGCTAAAACAGTAGTAATCCAAATGCAGAAATTGAGGGGTGGGGGAAGGCATGATGTGTTTTGCTTTTCTGTGTGTTTTGCATGTCTATCGTACTTGAAAATTTCTCACTGAAATTTATGGGCAGATTCTTTAGTTTCAAGTCCTCTTGTGGGCCCCAGTGACATTCTATGTTCATAGCATTTATCATACTGCAAGTATGCCTGTCTTATTCTCCCTCCAGACTGTGAGTTCTATGAAGTCAAGAACTTTGTCTTTTATCTCTATATTCTCAGTATCTAGTATACTGCATACTCAATAAATGTCACAATGAGGCATTATAAACATAATAAAGGCCGATCTGTTATCATGTGCTTTGGATCCTGTTCTCTCCCACCATTTCAGGAATCATTACATTCTTGTTCTAGTGTATGCAAACTCTGTCTCAACTAAATTCTTTTCATTAGGATTTAATCAAACTTAAACCTTTCCAATCTTAAAAAGCTTCCCAAATCCCTATGTTCTGTCTCCAACTATTGCATTATCTTTCTCCCATTCTCAGCTACACTCTTCAGAATTTCACTTATTTCATTTTCTTACCTCCTACTTACTCTTTAAACCTACTTTTGTCTGTTTTCAGCCTGAGATTTCCAGTGACTTTGAAGTTGCTAAATTCAGTTGACATTTTTCATTTCTTACCTTATTTGGTCTGTGAATAGCATTTGACACTTAACTCATAATTCTGCTTGTAATTTCTTCCTTGGGCTTCCTTGCCACTGTACTTCCATGGTTTTCCTTCTGTTTCTTTGTGGGTGCCTTATCAGTCTTTGTAGGCTCATCCTCTTCTGGATGACCACATAATCTTCAAGTTCCTTAAGACTCCTTTGCTGGAATAATACACAATGAGAGTAATTAAGTGATATTTTAGTTCTCTCATAGTTGATGTCCTTGAGAATGGTTCTCAGCACAGGAAAAATGATATATAGGTGCAAGATAGAAAAGAATAAATAAAAACCTTGTATTCTTGAATTTGAATTTGGATTATCACTATGAACTCAGGATATATTTCATGTTAAAAGCATTTTCCCCTAACTCTTTCAACTTTAAAAGGCCTAGAAACAATGAATAACCCACAATGAGTGGCCTGGAGAAACATTACCCATTCAAAAACCCCAACTCCTTGGAGAAATGGCTGATTCCAGGTTTGGGAAGAAAGTGTACAAGAAGAGCCTGGAAGGTCTTCTCGTAACAGATAGTAAGAAGCCGTTAAAGACTATTATGACTGAATCAAAAGGAATCATGAGCCAGTTTGAATCGACCTTTTCACCTGCCAAAGACGGTACAATTTGAACACCAATAAAGATAATAACTGCAAAATATTGAAACCCGTTAATATGTTTGGTCCATGAGTTTATAAGTGATGCTGTAAAAAAAAGACAAAATTGATCCCTTTTAGAGGAATGTAATGTACCAACTGATTATTTTGAAAACTGGCAGCTAATGGAAAAGAATCAAGCATTTATTCTTGCCTCTCATATAATGGCTCACTGGCAAAGCAAATAGTAGATAAGGAAAAGTGCTCTTCATAGAGATATTCCAGCTGTTAAATAAAGAAGCGATGATAGAATAGCACCTTTTGGTAATCCTTAATGAGTTAATGGATTTAGGCATTGGTCATCATTGTCTACTAAGTGCACAAAAAATGAAACAACAACCATTTTCCTCCTGATAGGACACAGTACCATTTATGAAGTGATCTTGCCACCAAAATTTGACCAAAGCTCTAGATTCAACTCTCAATTCATAGAAAACACAGAGGAACATGTTAAATGTCACTACAGTGTGCAGTTAGTAAAATCCAGCCTCTGGAAAAATCTACACAAAAATATCAATAATTCTTCAACAAATATATTGCAAAGGGAGTAGATGAAAAGACTTCTCCATGATCAACTAAGTACCTGTCTGTTCCTCCCATAGCTTCTGCATACTTCTCTCACAACACAGCATTGTTTTGAAATGGTCTTGTTTATAGGTATTTCCGTGCCATTAGATGTGTGATATGTTTTACCTCTTTTTATCTTCTTGTTTTTAACTTTTGACATTTTAATAATAATGTGCCTTGGTGTGGGCCTCTTTGAGTTCATCTTATTTGGAACTCTCTGAATTTCCTGGATCTGGATGTCTCTTTCCTTCCTCAGATTAGAGAAGTTTTCAGCCATTATTTCTTCACAGTTTTCCGTAAGTAGGTTAATGCCACTATACATCCTGCCCTGCAACCTTTTTTTCATCCAACATGCTGGGTATCTCTTTCTGCATTAATAAATACTGCTGCATATTGTCATTTTTTGGGACTCTGAAATGTATTCTTCTTTTAATATATCTTAATTTAATTAATTAGTCCAGCACTGATGAACATGTTTCTTTATAATTATTTCCTAATATAAAAAATGTCATGCATTTCTTTGAACACACCCATTTGTACATATGTGCAGTTCTCTCCTTAGACTAGAGGTGGGTTTGTTGGGTCAAAGGGTATGTTCATTTAAAATTCCTATATTGCTCTACCACCTTCTAGAAAATTTAGACCTATTTTCATTGTCCTAGCAGTTGATGAGGAGGGTTTTATTATGCTTGAAGTCTTGTTCATCAGCTCTGAGCAAACACTAGTTTTCAGGTAAAGTAACTCTCAATCTTTTTTTCTTTTTTTTTTTTAAGCCCTCTCTTTTGGTGCCTTTCCTTGAATTATTTCTCATCTCTGTGTTGGCAGCAGGGACTATTAAAGCTGTGTAAGATGCAACTGGACATGAAGTCAAATAATTGTAGAGTAGTATGTGATTTTCTCATAGTAACTACCTAATACTGTTATACGTACCGTATTATCATATGTGTTTTTGAATAATAATGTAGAATATTATACCCCTTAAAACCTTGATCACATTTTTACAAAAAGCCTGATTTCTAAATGTCATCCTATGTATATCTGCTTGGAGAAACTAAGATAATATTAGAACTGTCTTTTAACTTCTTAATAATGTTTCTGTTCATACTTGTTTATTTCCCAGTAGCCTCTTCTAGAGGAAAGAACATGCATTTTTAAGTCTGACTGAACTGTATTCTCATTTCGGCTTTGCCACTTATTTGATTGTATGTGAAAATCTCTTAACTTTTCTGGGCCTCAGTTCATCTGCAAAAGGGGGGTATATTTGATTGCTCTCTGTTTGAATGACTGCTCTAAGGATCAAATCAAACATTGTATGTGAAAATAGCATAATGTCTAGCAAATGCTAATAATTCAATATTTGTTCATCTGTTTCTTTTGTGGTGTGTAGTAGTGATACATAGTGTTTTTAGATATGTATTCACTATCATGTATACTATTGCCTTCACAGAAACCTTCTCTACATATACCCTCAGAGTCTCAATTTTGCCAACCGTCAAGGTTCTGCCAGAAATATAACAGTTAAAGTCCAGTTTATGTATGGGGAGGATCCTAGCAATGCCATGCCGGTAAGAAATGTTCTTTACATTTCCTATTCTTCATATACGGTTCAAATAGACCTTTTTTGGGGCAGGGAAGGTAATCACTTGGTTGGCAGCTCTGAACTGGAAATGAATGTGATCTTGCAAACAGAATTTCTGACTTCATTACTTCCTGTACAGGTAGTAATGAGTTTATTTGAAGTCTTATTTATTGAGGACTTGGTATATGCTAGGCACTCCCAGTGATACAAAGATGAATAAGACATAATCTAGAGGATATTCAGAATACATAAAATTTTAAAATAATGAACTTCAGAAGAGGGCCAGATCAGAATTACCTAGGGTACTCTTAACAGAGCAGATACCTCTTCTCTACTCTTCCATCTGTGATCCTGATTCCCCGCCTTTAGAATGAAAGGCCAGGTAAGGGAGGTGGAAAGTGGTGGGTAGTATTATGGGGTTGTGGTATAGTTTGAAAATGCCCCCCAGGTGATTCTAATTTGCATGGTTCTTACCATCTTTGTTGAGGAACTCTGGCAGTAGTTCTTAACTTTGGCTGCATTTTACACTCACTTGGGGAGCTTTTAAAAATACCAATGCCCAGACAATCCCATTCCAATTACATTATAATCTCTGGGGTGGGATACCAGGCAGATATCAGTATTTTTAAATCTCCCCAAGGGATTACATTTTGCAGCCAATATTGATAACCAGGGTATGTGCTAATTATTAGAAGATTGGCAGTATAGGGTTTCAAAGGTATAGGTGTTCAGAGGAAGGAGAGAATGCCTCAAAGGTGGTTAAAATGTTCATAGCAGTGGATCTGTCTAGACTGTGGGGAAAGGAGAGCAATTCAAGTTGGAGAATGTCCTTCAACAGAGGTAGAGTGGTGAGTTGCCAGTGAGCCAGAGCAATGCAAGATAAGTCAGGAATAGTAGATTGAGACTAGATTGGGGAGGTTCTTGACTGCCCACATTGTCATTTAGGATTTGTGGGACACTAGTAAATTCAGGTTCCATGAAAGTAGGTTTTCAATTTACGGAGTAGGAGCACATCTATCACTGTAGATGTTCAACCTCTGAAAGAACCCTAGTGGAATGAAAATGCGCTAAGAACAGGTGCACTGTTTACAGAGTTTTATTTTAGCCTTCTATGGCAGTCATTTGAATCAAGTTCTTTTGATTTTCTACAATACTTGCTAAGAAAACTATATATTTTCCTTTCCACTGTAGCCTCAGTTTCATCAACATTTATAGATCTTGATAGCAGCAAGCACAAATTATTCATCTTTGTATTCTTCTATGGCAGCTGTTCCAGATCCTTGCATGTAATACATGCTGAATAAATATTTGTTCAATAAATGTAGAATTTATTTTTGAGGTTTGGAATGAGCATTTCATGCTTTTTACTAGCTCTTCATGTTTGCCGAAGGAATGAATGTACTAATCATAGTCAATGAAAAGATGCTGGATTGTGAAAATAGATGGCTCTGTTATCCTATATGTGAATGGCCATATGAATTTGAGCTTATGACAAATGTAGTATATGTAAAATAATTTGTTTCTATTTTTTGCCTAACAAACTCTTCCTTGTCTTAGCATACATATAGCCTCCTCTACAGAGCCCCAGCTGCGTCCAGCCACATCGGCAGTTATACCACTCCTTCATTTGGTGCTACCTTAGTGTCTTCTCACTTTTTTTATGGGCTGTTTCATTTTATGGTTATATGCTTGTTTCTTTATCTCAACCACTAGACTGTGAGCTCCTTGAGGGCAAGGACCATGTCTTACTCATATCTGTATCTTGCCTATCATAGTGCTTGGCATAATTGATGCTCAGTCTATGTTGATGAATGATTAAAAATACATGTTAAATGGTCAAAGGAACACTTTTCACTTTATGTCATTGCATGTTATGAAAATAAGTTACTTTTTGAAAAACAATAGCTTCTCAGAGGGAAAAAACGGTACTGCATTCCTTTCTCTTGTGTATTATTAGTGATATGAAAATATAATGCTTTTATGTTTATGTGAGTGCCTGGTTTGAAATAGTGTATAAACACAGACACATTATATTTGCTTATTTTTTTTTAAAAATGAAGACTGTCCAAATGAATCTTAAGATAATTTTTTGATCATACAATGTTGATATGATAAAATCATAAACTTCATAATTTTGGCACTGGAACAGCATTTTTATAAAAACATAGTAAGGTAGTCTTAGAAATTGATGAAATTAGACATATACAGGAGAGTCATAATTATTATACTTTTGCATACCCTTAAAATAAAAGGACCTGCTTGAAATGTTGCAAAAAGAAACACAGATATCTGTTACGTTCTTTTTATTTAAGGATGGTGCAACTTAACCCCTTTGTATAAGGAGTAAACTTTGAGTTGTTTTACCAGTTGTGTGATAGAAGTGTGATGACATGTCCACATACCTATTCATGCATGTGTAGAGATGACTGGCCAGACTTAGAAGTTTAATCTATGACTACATAACATTGTAAGCCTGTCACATAGTAATCATAGCTATGACCTTGACATCATTAAGCCATTTATGTAATCTGCTGCCCTAATTAACCGTAGTATTGCTTGGTAGAATTCGAGAGGCAGATATACAAGACTGAATTATTTTACCTCTAAACCTTCTCCAAAGTATTGTAGTAGTAGTGTATTTTTTTTTAATGTGGTGGATTTGAAAAAAAACACATAAGTAAGAATATAAGAATGGAGCTCCTCTTCCATTGTAGAGTAGCTTGCAGGGAGTACTGGAATTTAAAGGGTACATAGCTTGACCTAAATTAGGGTATTTTAATATCATTTATAAATAATTTATATTTGACGTTCAGAATGACTGTTGTTTTAGTGGAGAATCCACCAATTTATATAGTAGATATATGCCACCATTCTAGGATCATATTTCTTATGTAAATTCCAAATGATGTGCTACATCTAGATTTTAAAATGAATTCTTTACCTTCTTTAAGAAAAAGGAAAGAAATGTACCTTATTGCCCAATAGATATAAATATAATGGATAGAAACTTTTTGAATGTTTGAATGTCAGATGGGTCTATAGTTGAAAAGAAATTTACAGTTAAGCAATTGAACGTATAGGCACATTGTTCTTCATTGGGCTTATTTTGCCCATTGTTCTCAGTTATTAAATCAGACAAATTCTTACATAGATTTGAAACATCCAGCATTTATTACAACAAAGTTTCAACATGCTGTTATTTGTTACAGGTAATCTTTGGTAAATCTAGCTGTTCAGAATTTTCAAAGGAAGCCTATACAGCCGTAGTATATCATAACAGGTACTGAATTCAAATATTTCTTTCAAAGTTTCTCACTTCTCAGTGGCATTGTTAGCACTCACGTTAGTGTGTTTACCAAATGCTTTGCTGCACTGGATGTGCAAATTCAAGACAGCTGACATCAAAGTTATAATTTTCAACCTGTAGATGCACATTCTCTCTGTAGACATCTCAAATATAAGACTTTATGCACAAAACATCTTTTCTGTCAAATTCTCTGATCCTTTCATTTTTATTATATTGTTATTGATTATCATTATGGCCTCTGGTCCTTTGGTCTTTCCCTGTTATTTTCACCTGACACTTTGTAGTTTTACTTAACTCTTTACTAAGCTTGCACTCATTAGTCAGTTAAATTGGTGCAACATCCAATAAATCTTCGACTCAGTGACTTTCCCTTTTACTTCTTTGGGAATTGATTGTTAACTCTGGATAACCTTTAACTTCTGCTTTTTTCCCCTCCTCCTCTTCCTCCTGCCCTCCCTCCCCATCCCCCTCCTTCACCTCCCTCTCCCCCTTCTTTTGTTTTGATTATCGAATGCTATTGGAGAAAAAACACAAAATTGTGCCAATCAGGGCTGCCACAAATTGACATTATTTTATCATATGATGGGGCTACAGTAATTTATTTTATCGCATTTTATCTTCTTTTGGCCCCTCTGTTCTTTGGTAAATTTTTTTGTCGTCACTTTTTTACCTTCTCTCCCATTTGGCAGTAGCTATTTTAAGCTTTTCTTCCCCTTTCTCTAGCTCCTACTTCTTTTCTGTTTGCTTTAACTCTCGTGTTCCTACTTTATGAAGTTGATTGAGACCATCTAACTTGAGATCTATCAACTTCTGTGCTCTTCACCTCAAATTGTCTCCATGCAAATCTGCCTTTCCTCTGTTTCAAAGGTGGTAATGGCGCACAGCTTCCTCAGTGTGGATCTTTTCATCTCTCCTCTCAAAACGATCTTATCCAGGCTCTTCAGAATGTGACTCCATCAGTTATTCCTTTTCTTGCATCATCAGTCTTCTGTGTTTCATTGGCTCCATCTCTTATTGCCACAAAATTTGTTTTCTATACTTAAAAAAAAGTCTTTCTTCAGTGCTGTTGTGTAGCATGGTTTTTCCTTACCCTCCTTAAAACTTTTCTTTCTCACGTTTATTTTATGACCCTCTCTTGGTTTCCTTTTATCCCTTTGAACACTTCTTTTTAATAGTAATTATTCTAATTTTTCTTTTTCTTTAAAACATAGGCCTTCCACACAAAATACGAAAGTTTTGCCTTTATCCTTCTTTTTCTATAATATCCTCTCCCTAAATAATCTTATATGTATTTCCAGAGTTACATTCAATGAAAATACTACTACTTTTACATTTATGTGGATTGTTCGCACTGTTTATTTTCTCTCATAACCTTCTTTCTGAGATACAGATGTGTATTTTCAGTGGTCTTTTAGGCGTATTCATTCGAGTGCCTGCTGCCTTCTCAATTTCCATGTATTTGTTGTTGACTCTCTTCCTAAGCCAATCGCTGTCTGACTATTTTTATTAATCGTACTACGATTTTTCGAGTTGCTCTGACTCAAAATGTAAGACATTCTTGCCTTCCTTCTTATTTTGTCTAATATACAATCATCTTTTACATCTTGATGATTGTATTTCTGCCTCATTACCAAGCATATCTTGTGCTGTCCTGTTTCTGGGCCTTTCTTGGATCTTTTTTCTGTTGTAATACTGGTTCCCTCTAATTGAACTCCTACTCATACTTTAAGGTCCATATCATATATCTCTTCCTAAATGACAGTTCCCTGATCTAAAACTTGAAGTAATCAATTCAGCTCTGTTCTTGAAGCACTTAACCTTATATGCTGTACACTAGGGGTCGGCAAACTTTTCTAAAAAGGGCCAAATAGTATATATTTTAGGCCTTGTGTGCCATCTGGTCTCTTGCAACTACTCAACCTTGCTGTTGTAGTGCAAAAGTAGCCATGTACAGTAAATTGCAAATAAATGGGCATGGCTGTCTTCCAATAAAATTTTATTTATGGACCCTGAAATTTGAATTTCATTTAATATCTCAAGTGAAATATTCTTTTGAATTTTTTTAAGCACTTAAAAATATAAAAATCATTTTTAGTTTGTAGGCTATACAAATGAAGTAGTGGACTGGATTTGGCCTGTGGCCATAGTTTGCCAACCCCTGCTTTATAGCATAGCTATTGATATATGTGTGTCTTACTTATATTTCTACTGAATTATATATTTTTGAGGGTTATTTTTCTTATGTTCATCTTTAAAACCACCACAAAAGTAACACAGTGCTTAGCCTAATGGTGGGTAATTAAAAATACTTGTTGATGAATAACTCGTAGATGTTTAATTTTCCATAAGAGCCTTTACATAATATGATTTCAGGAAAGAAATGAACTAAAGCACTAGAAGCCAGAAAAGATATTTATAAAGAAGGTTGTATTTTCTAAAAGTATCTCAGTTTGTGGCTAGGTCTTTATTTTGTTGCTCTTAGCATTAGTAGAATTAAAATGATACAGTCTAACATTACTAGTAAATTCAACTTTCTCGTAATTCAGTGGTGATTAGTGAGATCAGTAATAAGATCTATAGCATCTTTTATTCACCAAAGTCATCAAATTCTCAGATGTCTAGCATTAGCTACCTTTCTTACGGGTATTAAAAGCCTTATGCCACTTAATTTTTCTGTGATCAGATCTACACCTGTTAGCATTTTTGAGGCTTATTTGAGATGGAAGAATATTTGACATATTTAGCATCAGAGAAAAATCCCTAACTGGTGGGATGGGCTTCACTTTAAAGGTAGTCGGAACTATATGGTTTGGATGTATTTTCATTGAATACAACAGAGAGATACTAACTGAATATGGAAGATGGGGATGCTAAGGTTCTATCCCTTTTAGGTCTATATCATAAATAGCAGCCATGCTATCTTATAAAAATGCTCTTAGGGCCCACTCTCAATGAATATTGAGATGCAAGTGCCATTGGTTTGATCAAATATGATATTTGTTGTATTCCTTAGTAGCTGGGAGCCCTTCTAAACGGTGGGGAACATTGCAATTTGTGGGGATTCCCTGATTTTTTCTTTTCTTTTTTCTCTTTTCCTTGTCCTTTTTTTTTTGTAAAGCTGTCAGTCAATACACAACTGTCCATGTTTAGGTAACATTTATTTCTTTAGCAATGGAATGATAGATATAAGACATTGCATAGAGAGCCCATCTTGATACCAAGTTGTCTAAAAATTCCTTTTTTCTTTCTTTCTTTCTTTTTTTTTTTTAACAAAAGGATAATACAATTTAGTCTTACTATGAAGCTGTACTCCTATAACAGAAAAATGTTTTCCTATGGTATGGTTATAAGATATACACTTATAAAAGCTCATTATTTTTTTTCTGTGTAATATGTATCCAAATTGGTTTATAAATATAGAAAGCCTTGCCCTAGTCTCTTCTCTTATACAGTTTCCAATCTAATGAAGATTTCAGCATCAAGGTGGTGATTATTAATGAATTTTCAAATAGTAGGATTACTCAACCCATTAATAAAAATGGGATGAGAAATTTCAGAAACAGTGGCAGCTCCCTCATCTGGAAGTAGGGGTTAGTTACTTAAGAGCTTGGAAATAAAAATATTTTGGACTAGAAGAAAAATTAAGCATGAATCCTGAAATTAATTTTAAAATTACTCAAACATACAAATGCAATAATTGTTTATTTTGAACACATTACTGACTATTGATGTTTTGTTTTGTTTTTGTATGAAGGTCTCCTGATTTTCATGAAGAAATCAAGGTTAAACTCCCTGCTACTTTAACTGACCATCATCACTTGCTTTTTACTTTTTATCATGTTAGTTGTCAACAAAAACAAAATACTCCTCTTGAAACTCCTGTTGGATACACGGTAAGTATATTTTGTTAAATATTTAGCCCTTTGATCTTAAATATAATTAACAATATTTAAGATAATTGGTGTTCATTATTATTTGAGTATTCCTTATCTGATTCCCCATGTTCATTAGGAAGGGTCATCATAACAAGAAAATTCTCAATATAGTTAACCAGTGTCATTAATTAACTAACTAACATGTGTAAACACTTAGGTGTTGGTCCTGATTATTGTATATTTACCCAACAGTACTGTGTAAATGTAACAGTTTTAAGGGTTCTTTGGAAGAAAATGGTTTGAACGTAAAATGATTAAAAGAGACCCTTGGTAATTAAAACCCTTTTTAATTGTCTTAATTAAAGCAATTAAAACACCTGAGTATTTTTTGAAAATCATTACTATTGAATTACAAAAGTAAACCTAAGATGAATACATCAGTGTGCTACCACAATTTTGTCAGAAAGGCATGCCTTCACCTAAAAGAGAAAAACTAACATTTGATACATATCTTTTGTCTTCAGCTTATGACATGAATTTTTGCTAAATGTAAGAAAATAAGTTTATGTCATACTTCTTAGTTTTGTTTCCAACATTCTTATCTAATCAAATCTTTCTTTCCCTATTTACATTGACACTATTACCCCAGTTTAAAATTGATTCACTTTGTGGCCTTTTCTACTTTCTATTACCAACTTTCCCTTGGATAATGAGGACCTGCTATAGATTTAAGTATTGCATAGTTAGTTGGTAATGTTTTGGGGATCCTCCTTAAATATTGTTGGGGAAACTTCTTTAGAGGAATTATGAAAACCTATTATTATTACCTGATAATTAAATCCCCTTGGTGTTTAGTGATGTGAAACGAATTTGGCTCATACCAAGTTCTTAAAACAGATTTTCCAAGTAATTACTTTTATAACAAACATATTTAAATTAATATTGTTTCCTTTTTATTTAAAAGTGGATACCGATGCTTCAGAATGGACGATTAAAGACTGGGCAGTTTTGCCTACCGGTCTCACTGGAAAAACCGCCACAGGCTTATTCTGTACTGTCTCCTGAGGTCAGTTTCTCTCACATTGAAATTCTCCAGTTTGAATGAAATGGGCTTTTCATTACAAAGATAGTTTTCTCAAACTTGCTGTTTCTTCTCTCTCTAAGTATGTATATAGTGAAGTAATAATATTATTTTCCAAGGGACATTAGCGGCTTTGATGATGACATATGTGACTTGAAAGAAACAAAAACATTGGGAAAATCTCAATCAAGAATCAGTAGCCACTGTTCAAAAACCAAAGTGCCTTTTGAGAGAACGGTTACATGATGATTACCAATGTCTCTTAATGCTTTGACTACAATTGTTTGTAACCATTAATCTGAAATGTGTCTTGTGAATGTTCTCCTGGTGGCATTTATTTTTCATTATAGAACTTTAAAAGTTTTCACAAATAAATTTATATTGTTTTTAATTAAAAAAAAAAAAGGCAATGTAAGGCTACTGCTCTGACCTCCTTTCTCACCATTCTCTGTCACTCTGCCCTGACTATATAGCACAGCGCCTTTGTTGTTCCTCATACATGAATAGCACATTCCCCTCTCAGGCCGTTTGTACTTTCCTTTGCTGGCAATGCTCTATCACAAGACCTGCTTCTTATTTACTCAAATATCCCCTCTTCAGATAAGTCATCTATAATTACTTTGTTTTAAGCAACAGCCTCCACCGCTTTTTATCCCTTTGTTTATCCTCATAATACTTATCACTGGGACTTCCCTGGCAGTCCAGTGGTTAAGACTCTGCACTTCCACTGCAGGGGCTTGGGTTTAATCCCTGGTCAGGAACTAAGATCCCACATGCCGTGGGGCGCAGCCAAAAAAAAAAAAACTTACCACTGACTTTATAGTTCATATATCTTTGTTTATCTGTTTATTGTCTACAGAGTATAAGCTCCATGAGGTTAAGGACTTTGTCTTTCTTATGCATTGCTGTATCTACCAGTGCTTAGAATAGTGCTTGGCTCATAGTAGACAGTTAATGAATATTTATCAAATGAATGAATAAAGACTGTAGGAAAGAAATAGGACAGAACCCCCCCCAACCCCCAAATCTTTCATTCAGTTTTCCAGGAACATATCTTTTCAGTAAAATAAATTAGTCTTCTGTCAGGGTAGCATCGTATTTCAAAAGGAAATTTTTTTTTTTTTTTTTGTGGTACGCGGGCCTCTCACTGTTGTGGCCTTTCCCGTTGAGGAGCACAGGCTCCGGACGCACAGGCTCAGCGGCCATGGCTCACGGGCCCACCCGCTCCGCAGCATGTGGGATCTTCCTGCACCGGGGCACGAACCCGTGTCCCCTGCATCGGCAGGTGGACTCTCAACCACTGCGCCACCAGGGAAACCCCCAAAAGGAAATATTTTAAAAGAAAATATAATTTTATGGAAGTTATGGATTTGTTCTTAATTGATTTGCAGATTCAATGTCAGATTTCTAAAGGGGGAGGCTGATGGTTTTCTTCTAGCTACAACGTGTATGTTCATATATAAAGAATATGGTGATAATTTGGATTTGACTATAGATACATAGTATGGCTGATTGATATGTGAGATTAAACCACCTGATAAAGTGCTTAAACTTTTGTATATTTTAATTACTATATTAAAAGAACAGTATATATTCTTAGCATCATTATTATATTTAAAGCATAGTATATATTAATTTTAGTGCTTAATTTAAAGCAAGTGAGAGATAAATATTTAAATATTTGACTTTTATAGGTCATTGCTTAATGCAATTTTGTATTCACTTTCCTGGTTGAGGTTGAGCTCTCTTTGATTCAGAAAGTCAGAGAACTTCTGATATGTGTTAACTTCAACAGTTCTTTGGACCTTAGAATATGAAGCTTGCCATATAATCACACTTAGGTACTGAGAAACTAATTTCTGTAACTAGTGAACTATTGCTTTATTATATTTCACTCAGTGGTAATTTTCAGTGATAAATGGATCATTTTCTTCTTAAAACTGGGTAAAAAGGAAGGTGAACCTTTGTTGGCTTTGTTACACCACATTTTCTTGGTTTTCTGGTGTTTCCCCTTTAAGTTTTCATGTTCTTTTCACTCTGAACCTGTAAGCACTCTTCCCAGGCAGGATCACTGACTGCAGTTCTGTGAACAGTACTCTCAGAGTGGTGTGGTATGTAACTTACAAGAGGACCAAGATGCTCCTGACTCCTACTGCTAGTTGATGAATCTTAAATCTGCATCTCTGCTCACTCATTTCTTGCCAGTTATTTGTCTGGTAAATTAAAAAGCCTAGTGATGTCTTTGCCAGGATGTTCTGTAGATATCTCAGACGTAAAATGTCCCTAACTGGACTCATTCTTGTTGAATACTGTTGGAACTTTATGGTGAGAGGAAAACCTTGGCCCCCAATATGCCTCAACAGAGTGATTCTAGTGAATTTATCTCAGTTCAGTGTCATCAGCTTTTCAGGATTAGTGTTTATTGGGCTCCAGGAAGCAGATTCATGCTTACAAGATTCATACAAGATTGACATATAGACTAGCATGGCAGTTTATCATCTCTATTTGCATAGGTGTGCAAAGATCAGCATATAGGATATTTTTGAACTTAACAGTGGTTACACCTGAGGATAGTTATACTTTTCAGTTTTTTGTTATTTTATTTAATAATATAATACACACTCATGAATCCACCACCCAACCAAGAGCTAAAACACTGACAATAGTTTACATCACTTATGTGCTCCTCCCTTATTCCATACTCTTCTTCCTTCTAACTACAAAAAGCTAGGCTTTAAAAAAAACTGTGGTAAAATATACATAACATAAAATTTACCATTTTAACTATTTTTAAGTGTACAGTTCTGTGGTATTAAGTACTTTCACATTGTTTTGAGAACTAGCCTCTTAAAACTACTTTTTTTTATTTCCAGCAAGAGCAAAAGTTTATTAAAAAGTTTATCTTCTTGGGCTTCCCTGGTGGCGCAGTGGTTGAGAGTCCGCCTGCCGATGCAGGGGACACGGGTTCGTGCCCCGGTCCGGGAAGATCCCACATGCCGCGGAGCGGCTGGGCCCGTGAGCCATGGCCGCTGAGCCTGCGCGTCCGGAGCCTGTGCTCCGCAACGGGAGAGGCCACAACAGTGAGAGGCCCGTGTACCGCAAAAAAAAAAAAAAAAAAAGTGTATCTTCTTTAGAAATTTAACCAGAATATTCCATTCTGATTAATGGAGAATTTAGTGTATTACAAACATCAAAATATTAGGGGTAAATCAACACCTACCAAAATGTCTGGAATGGTGAATGGCCAGATGTGGTTGGAGGTTTCATGTACTGAACTTAAAAAAAAAAAATCTTCTGAGTTGGTTATACACCTGTATTTCCAATCATTTCTGGGAAGGTGGGGGCAGGGGGGTGAGCCAGGAATCAGATTTTGAGAATAAGAAACGTAGAGCTGCAAAGAGAGATGTTAACAAGCAAAGAAGTAAAATATTAGGGAGAAAAAAATGATTTAAAAAAAGTACTACAGAGTTGGGGTAAAATAAAACTGAGTATAAATGGTCTGTATGGTAAGGAAAAGAATTCCTTGGTGATCTCAGCCTATGTGGGTCAGAAATAAAGTGGGTGAGAGGCCGTTTATTTTGTTGACTGAGATACCCTCAGACCATTTTTCTGTAAGGTTTTTTTCCCATAGAATCTTCTATTTTTTAAATTTAATTTTATTATTTTTTTATACAGCAGGTTCTTATTGGTTATCTATTTTATACATATTAATGTATATATGTCAATCCCAATCTCCCAATCTCAGTCACCCCCCACCCCCACCCCCACCCCCCCAGTAAAACTACTTGTTTTTTCAAAAATAAATTTATTTATTTATTTTTGGCTGTGCTGGGTCTTCGTTGCTGTGCACGGGCTTTCTCTAGTTGCGGAGAGTGGAGGCTGCTCCTTCGTTGTGGTGCGCGCGCTTCTCATTGTGGTGGCTTCTCTTGTTGTGGAGCATGGGCTCTAGGCGCGCGGGCTTCTGTAGTTGTGGCGCGAGGTCTCAGTAGTTGTGGCTCACGGGCTCTAGAGCACAGGCTCAGCAGTTGTGGCGCACCGGCTTAGTTGCTCTGCGGCATGTGGGATCTTCCAAGACCAGGGCTTGAACCCGTGTCCCCTGCATTGGCAGGCGGATTTTTAACCACTGCACCACCAGGGAAATCTCTAAAACTACTTTTTAATTGAGGTATATATGTGCCTAAAGAATACATTGTTTACTTTGCTTATTTTATGAATTTAATGAAAAGGTTATTATGCTATAAATAATCCTCTGAGACTTGCTTTTTTCATTCAGCATTATATTACTAAGATTTAGTGTTTATTATCAAAATAAAATGTTCCTTCGGAATTTCATTGTACTTAGAATATAATCTAGATCTTTTTTCCTGCGACCTACAGGAAATCTCTGAAAGACCTGGGCTCTTCCACTTCTGCAGCGTCATCTTCTACTACCACCATACCTCTTGTTCCGTACTTACAGCTTCTTCCAAATTTTTTCCAGCCTCTCAGTCTTTGAATTTTGTCTTTCTTCTTCCTGATCTCCTCATGGCTGGAGTCTTTTCATTATATTTATTTCACTATATATTTCAAATAGCACTTCCTCAGAGGGGTTTTCCCTCACTCCATGAATTTTCAACCCTTCCTTCCTCCACACTGCTAATACAGTCTATCATTTTTAATCCATTTTTATTTACTAAATACTTATCACTATCTGAAATTCTTATTTTCTTTTTTTCTACAAGAAATGGGTAGTAAGCTCCCTGAGAGCAGATGTTATGTTTATCATGAAACCCTAGTACCTAGAAAACTGTGTAGAGACTTCAGTAAATATTTGTTGTATGAATTTAAAGAATAAAATTACAGGATTATTGGTATTAGCAAAAAGTAAAAAATGGAAATTACCTGGATGTCGAGTAAGGGTTTATTTAATTAAATTTTTGTACAGCCATACAATGATACAGTAGTTAAGAGGAGTGATATAGATTTAAATATCCCAATGGGACATTTGTAATAAAAATATAAAAACAAACAAATAATGTCGTGACAACCAAACTCAATATGTAGATATATCAGCAACTGGGTGGAAATAGTTTGGAAAATATATACCAAATGTAACTCTCAAAGGGGTGTGGGATTATGAAAGTTTTTTTGTTGTTGATTTTCTTTCTAATCTCATATACCTTTGAAAGGCAGTATAACATAATATCCAAGATTTCACTCCCAGCTCCCACTGACCTCAGGTGAGTTTCTTATTCTGCTGTGGACTAAATTGTTCTAACCCCCAATGTGATAGAATTTGGAGATGGGGCCTTTGGGAGGTAATTAGGTTAAATGAGGTCATGAGGATGGGCCCTCATGCTGGGATTAGTGCTCTGTAAGAAGAGACACCAGAGAGCTTGCTCTCTTGGCTGTGTGAGGACAAAGTGAAAGGTGGTCATCTTCAAGCTAGGAAGGGGTTCTCACCAGAAACTGACCATGGTGGCGCCTTGATATTGGACTTTTCTAGTCTTCAGACCGTGAGAAAATAAATTTCTGTTATTTAAGCCACCCAGTATATGACATTTTGTTGTGGCAAACCGAGCTGATTAAGATAGTCTCACTGCCTGAATTTTCTTATCTGTAAATTGAGGAGAATAATTAATGCCTACAATAATTGGGTTATGTTGATGACTGAATGATTAATCGTACGTAGAACATTTAGAATGGTACCAGGTACATGAAAAGTGCTAAAGAAGTGTCTGCTACTATTATGCCATTCCTATTGCCACCCTATTTGTTAGACTATTTTAAGAGAGTAGTTCTTACTTTAGCATGCATCAAAATCACCTGGAGTGTTTGTAGTAACACCAGTTGTTTAACCTTACTCCCAGAGTTACTGATGAGGTAGGTCTGGGCTGGGGCTTGATTATTTACATTTCTTCAAGTGCCCAGAAGATATTGATGCTGCAGACTGTTTTTAAAGAAGTATGTGTTCACATTTTATTTGGATGTCCTTTTTTTAGAGCTGAAAATGAGTGTTTTGGGTTGAAAGAGCTAGTACTCTTTCTTGTGCTGAGTAGTTTCAATTTACTCCACCAGCGTTTGTTTCTTTTTTAAAGTTTCAATACCTGTATTATTTGCCTCAGTAAAGATATTGAATTTCTTACCTACTTAGTATTGAATTTTGTAATAGGAAACTTACTTTATTTGGTTTTATTTTCTTCATATAATAACAATATAAAACCATGGGAAAGAAATCCTATCTTCCTATATATGTATATATATATTTTGTTGTTTGTTTGTTTTGTTTTGTTTTGCTGAGACTTTCTATTTTTGTCATTTGTTTCAGGGATGTTTGTAATTGCTTGTGGAGCTTTTTTTTTCCCCTGATGGCTGTTTTAAACTCCTTGTCAGATCTGTCCAGTATCTAAATATTGATGTCTGTTGATTGTCTTTTCTCATTTAAGTTGACATTTTTCTGGTTCTTGGTATGATGTGTGATTTTTTGTTATATCCTGAACATTTTGGGTATTATGTTATGACCCTAGATCTTACATAAGTCTTGTGTTTTAGCAGTAGGGGGAGGTCCTGTTGCCAGGTGGAGGTAAAGATTCACATTCCCCACTCCGCGTTGGGTTGGGGGTGGCTTATTATTGGGTGGAGGTAGGATTTCGGGCCTCAGTTGACACCTGCCTGGCTGTGAGGGTGAGGGGGAAACTTGTTACTTTTCCCTGGTTGGCCTCCACTAACCCCACAATTAGTGGAGGTACTTTTTATCACTGGACTGGGACCAGTTCCCATCTCTGTCTTCTATGATACCAGACAGTATTTGTGAGGGTGGGTTAGGGATTGAGGAACTTCATTATAGCCAGCTGAGGGTGGACACCTAGGCCCCTCACTCAGCCTGTGGAGGTGGAATGGGGCTGTGATTTGTTTCCTTGTGTTTGGCCAGATTAGGGCAATTGTTGCATTTGACTAGAGGGAGCAGGCTTTTCCTGGAGTTTTTTTTTTTCTTTTTGTCTGTTTCTTTTGGCAATTCTGGGTTGCCAGCTTCTCTAGCAGCTAGCCCAGGATACATGAGGCAAAACTAAAACCCAGGAAACACTGCCTTATAGTTCCTTGTATCCTGAGGTCCCTAGCCCGTCTGCATCCTTCTCACCCCTTTCAGTCTTTATGTTTATTTTCTGTATCATGTTCAGGGTTTCTAGCTGTACTCAGCAGGAAGAATAGAGAGAACTGATGTACTCCCTTTTAAAAATAACTTTTGTGATATGATTTTAATTAACACTGCTAGCAATTTATATCAGAAAAAAATGTTTTCTAATCCTTAAAACAATAGACTTCCTTTGCTTATGAATATTTTAAAGCCCAATTAAAACATAATAGAAGTGTTTAAAATAAAGAAAATAGGATACTATTAAGCCATTAAGATATTGTAGATGTGAATTTATTGGCATGAAAAGAGATTCACAATGTAACAGGTGAAAAACAGGTTTCAATATAATATGTTTGATATATCACCTATGTAAGGGTGTATTTAAAAATACACGTGCATAAGGGAAGATCTGGAATGATATAAAGGTATATGTTTCTGGGAAGATAGAATTTTGAGTGTATATTTTCTGCCTTTTGCTCCTTGAGCCTTTTACTTCTCTTGTAGGAAACATATTGATTTTTGTAATAAGAACAAAATATAAGTTCGACATTTATTTGTAGTGCATAAAATATATTTCCACAGTATTTTTTCTCATTGAGATATTGTAATTTTTTTTCATAATTCAAGTTTGTTTCAGAATTCATAATCAAGTTAAGCATCTGTGGTCATTGTATTCAATATCTTATAGGTTCCTCTACCTGGCATGAAATGGGTAGATAATCACAAAGGTGTTTTTAATGTTGAAGTTGTTGCTGTTTCATCTATCCATACACAGGTAAGTGAGTTTTAATAATTTTTGTGATCAAATTTCACTTAAATGAATTGAACATTTTGTCTAGAACTTAAATCAGTTTTGTCTGCTATAAGATTTATGAGACTATATATCAGTTAAAAATGTATAGGTTTGGAAGTTACTTTTTAAAGGAATCAATAAAATATCATTTAATGTGAACAAAAGCAAATATTTTACTTTTCAAAATGTTATTGACTTCATTTTGAAAATTAAGTGATTTTTTTTTCTAAGTTTCTAGAACATAGCAGAATAATTAGAGTTGAAAAACCATCATCCAGCTCGTTTTACTTCTCATAGACTTAGATATTTCAAATGGAAAGGGTTCTTAGGGATCACCATATTTTTCACTATATTTCTGGAATGTGCCAAGCTCTTTTCAAAGCCTTTGTATTTACTCTTTCTTTAGCCGGAATGCTTTTCCTTCTCACATTCATTTGACTTCTCTTCATTAAGGCTTCTCCTTACCTCAGAGAAGCCTTTGCTGGTGACTCTTAAACATAGCAGCTCCATCACTCTGTATCGTCTTACCCTGCACTCCTTACTGCTTCTTATTTTTGCTTGCGTGCTCTTGCACTTTTGCTTTCTCTCACTGTGTGTGTGTGTGTGTGTGTGTGTGTGTGTACATATAAATGCATTCATATCCTTTGTTTATTGGTTCTTTCCCCCATTAGACTGTAAACTCTGTGAGGTCAGGGACGTTGTTACCTGTGAAGGAAAGAGCCTGCCCTTAAACTACCTTACAGTGAAATAGGGGGAAGTGCAAAAATAATTATAATAAAACTAGTATTATGTTAGATATATGAACTACATCCTTTCAAGTACAGAGAGAGAGTTGTTTGTTTTGCTGGGAACTGAGTTGCATTGGTGAGTAGGCATTTACCATACAGAGAGAGGGTAGACAATGCAATTGGTAAAAAGCAAGTGCAAAGAGGCAGTAATCTGCCGAAGGAAGGGTAATTAATCTGGCGTGACTGCAGTTTAAAGTATGTGGGAAATCATGGTATATGAGCATAGAAGACCAGGCTGGTAAAAGATTATGAAGGACCTTGAATGCCACAGAATTTAGGGTGTGTGGTGATTTCTAACGTAAATAGTAAGTGTGAGAGAAGTAAATTTGGGAGCATACTAAGGGAGATAAATTATGGGGCTATAATGAGTTTATTTTTGAGTTTGAAGTGCCTGGGCACTTCAGATGAAGATGTCCTATAGACAGTTGTAATTAATTAGGAGTTTAGGATTGGGGGTAACAGAATAAATGTGAAGCTGAAACTGTACTAGTGAATGTGATTTTCCAGGGAGAAAATGTAGAGTGAGAAGAGGCGGGTGTTCAGAATAGAATATGTGGGTTCTCCAACTTGAAAAGGCAAGGGGTGGTATGCAGGGGTTTCCAAGGCCACCTTTAAGTTCTGTTATTTTCTAGCAGAACTCACAGGACTCAGCATATAGTCATATTCACAGCTGTGATTTATTTTAGTGAAAGATATAAAGAAAAATAAGGTAAGGGGAAAGAGGTCAAGTCTAGATGAAATAGGACACAGGCTTCCAAGAGTTTTCTCCTACGGAGTCATAGAGGATAAGTTGAAACAGCATATGTGAAATGTTGTCTACCAGGGAAGCTCAGTTCCCAGAGTTTTTACCATAGGCTTGTCTCGTAGACACCCTCTGCCTAACACATACCAAAATCCTAGATTTGCAAAAGGAAAGCAGGTATTAAGCATAAACCATATTGCTTGCACAAACAGTTTAGGTATAGTGAGCAATCGCCCATCAGTGGGAACCCTCCTGAAATCCAAGTTCCCAGATGCCAGCCAAGGGCCAACCTTGTAAGCAGGCCTTTGAAATGTCTTAAGCTTGCTATGTTAACTCTTTTCTGCACAGTGAGGTAGGGAAAGTAAAAACACAGGGTGCTCTATATCACGTTTTAAAACAACAGCAAAGGACTTCCCTGGTGGCGCAGTGGTTAAGAATCCTCCTGCCAATGCAGGAAACATGGGTTTGATCCCTGGTCCGGGAAGATCCCACATGCCGTGGGGCATCTAAGCCCGTGCGCCACAACTACTGAGCCTGCACTCTAGATCCCATGAGCCACAACTACTGAGCCCGTGTGCTGCAACTGCTGAAGCCCATGTGCCCTACAGCCTGTGCGCCACAGCTACTGAGTCCACGTGCCGCAACTACTGAAGCCCACATGCTCTAGGGCCTGCGTGCCGCAACTACTGAGCCCATGTGCTGCAAATACCGAAGCCTGCATGCCTAGAGCCCGTGCTCTGTAACAGGAGAAGCCACCGCAATGAGAAGCCCGTGCACTGCAACCAAGAGTGGCCCCCGCTCACTGCAACTAGAGAAAGCCCACGCGCAGCAACGGAGACCCAACGCAGCCAAGAAAAAAACAAACAAACAAACAGCAAAAAGGTAGTATATACATTTTATTTAGCAGTATGCAGGTAGATCCTAGTAAAATAATGCTCCAGTGGAGTTTTTACTTTTCTGTTGTTAGATATGCTTATGTTTCCTATAGACCTTATTCTTCTGATAATGAGAAGGTTGACATTATAGTATACTGTTTAAATATATTCCTTCCCTTAATAAAATTATTCTTAATATCACATGATATCTTCTTAAGTATACAAATACATTATTTTTCATGTTTTTTTGAATCCTGTAATCATTGTTAGTGTTCTCTTTTTCTAGTGTTGGTAATATATTTGTGTTTTACTCCTGACTTTATTTTTGTGGAGGCAGGTAGATACATGTATTGTCTTAATGTAACAAGGAAGGATTTAGGGCAAAATATTTCATAGAGATGATTTAGAATCTATAGAATGTAGAGGAAGAATAGAGTGGAAGTGTCTAGTGTTTAGCCCCCTGACATTCACAGTCCTGTGACTGAAACTCAAAAGCTTATAAAATTTTACAACTCTGTAATATAATTTTATCATGTGTTATAATCTTTTTTAAAGGATCAATTGAAGACAATAAATGTTTTTTATGATGTTTTGTACTTTGCTTGTAGGTGCTTTGAAATTTACTGGATATATAGTTAGAATTCAATAGAATTATTTTTATTCATTTAAAACATATAAAATTAGAACAGTATTAAAATTATAAATGTGAAGTTGTTTAAAATTACTGCCTTTTCTTAAAGTTTATTTTCATTGTTAACTAAGTAAAAGTCTTCCCAGAGTTTCAGTAGCCTTTTTCTCACATCCATTGGTCAGAACTCGGTCATCTGTAGGTATAAAGGAGGCTCAAAGAGCAGGCACATTACTGCTTTAAATAAGATTGTGGTTCTATCAGTGTAGAAGGAGGTTAAATAATAGCAGTTAGGATTTAGTCAGGAGATAGAAACTGCCAGTAATTTGAGTGGAGAAAATCTGCAAATAAATAGTTAACTAAGTTAAAGGTGATTCACTACTAAATGGGTTAAAAGAGAATTCTGATTGTAACAAAGATAGCAATTGCAGAAAGTGGTAAGGGAGGAAGGAACCTAGAAACCTAGAGCAAGATCTTGAAGGATGTGAGCCAGGCCTCTGAGGAGAGGACACCGCTGCTACAGGAACACAGTGCCTGCCATGCTGTAGTATTGAGGAAGCTTGGTAGAGAGCTCCTGCTGTGGAACTGTGAGAGCCACCACTGCTGCCCATGTCCCTCACCTCTGAGCCACAGCATGCACGTCTACTCGCTGCCATTAGGAAAGCAAACAGGAGGAAGAAGATTCCCTTCTAACTCCTCAAGCTTAGCAGACTGTTTCCCATACCCTCTGTTGTCAGAGCCTATCACAAGCCAGCTGACAAAGGACAAATGTAGTTTGAAGAGTCTAGCTCCAGAATTACAAAATGTGGAAAAGATGGTGGGTTTGGATGGAGCTAAGAGGTAATAAATTAATAATGGGCTCAGGTAGGTTACTAACACACTCGCCATAATAATTGAGCTCTAAAACAATAAGGCAGACTCACACTGGAAAAAGAAATCCTAATATCAACAGTTTTTTTGAGTAATCAATAGTATTTGAAGTGGCTACTTTACAATAATAGCTGAGAATAGATGTATTTAATTGGAAACAATGTTTGTATATACGAATATGTACTTTTTTGTATCATCAATTAATATGAGATATCAGTGGTCCATAGTTTGTGGAATGTATGAAGTTATAATTGTTTAGTGCCTCTGTTCATTCTTTGTTTTAGGATCCTTATCTTGATAAGTTTTTTGCTCTGGTGAATGCTCTGGATGAACACATGTTCCCAGTCCGAATTGGAGACATGCGAATCATGGAAAACAACTTAGAAAATGAATTGAAGAGCAGTATTGCAGCATTGAATTCATCTCAGTTGGAACCAGTGGTCCGATTTCTTTATCTTCTGCTTGATAAACTGATACTTTTAGTTGTTAGACCTCCTGTCATTGCTGGCCAAATAGGTAATTTACCTATGTTGGGGGAATCATGAAATTTATCATTCAACATTTCTAACTTTTACAGAAACAGAATCATGATTCCTTTTTGCCATCTCTATAAGGACTGTGTTTGACTTTGTGGGGCGTTGTTACTTACTTGTTTCTAATTCTGGAAAATAACTTTCTTTTGTTTCTATAAAATGTGCCATATAGACTTTTACTCAAATTATGAAAACAAATTTATTTATTCACTCACCAAATATTTATTAAGCACTTAATATGTACCATACAGTGATAGGCACTGACAAAGGCATGGTTTCTGATTTTAAGGATCTCATAGACTAGTTAAGAAAACATGCAACTGATAAATCATATTGTGTTTTACATGACTTATAATCTACATTTTCACTCATCTGCTATCCTCTATTTAATATAGCTATTATTCTCTTCGTTGACTCAAAATCTCTATCTTCTTTTTCTTGTGAGTTTTTCTTGAAGGAGAGGTATTCAGGTTTCCTACCTTTTTTCCAAGATTCATTCCTTTACTTTTGCTAACAGCTTCCACCCAATCCTGCAAAGTAGTTGAGTTTGTGAGAAATTTCAGCTAACTTGTTATAGAAGTTTCGTATTAAGTGGTGGCACAAAGGAGAGTAGTATTCAACTCCTTGAGATTTTTTTTAGGGACACTTGTAAGTAGAGGTAATTCTTGGGTTGAGCATTTAAAGATGAGTAGGAGTCTGACAGGTAAATAACTAGCCCAGGGAAATGAAACAGTATGTGTATAGTACATAAACAGATAAACTAACCTGGAAATTCCGGGGGAATTACAAGTAATTAGTTATGAATTGGAGGGTTAGTGATTAGAGATGATATTGGTCGTAGGGGAGATGAAGTAGGGTCCTTGACACATTAGGAAATTGGACTATTATTCTGTAAGAATCAATAGCCTTTGAAGGATCTGGTCTTAATTAGAAAAGTAATGTGACTAGGTTGGCTTTTATAAGGATGATTTTGCACGGAGGTAGATTGAAAGTGAGAAGATCTGGAGGCAGGCAGACAGATTTGAAATCTTGAATTTTATACAAAAAATTCTGTGGTCCTGATAAAAGACAGTGATGGTGGGATAGAGAAGAGAGGGTAGTTTAAGAGATACTGAAGAGATGTTGTAGAGAGTAATGTTACAGAAGTCATAGAAGGTTTTAAGAAAAAAAAGTTAACATTGTTCATTTTTGTAGATTGTATAGTAAAATAATCACAATAGTAACAAACATTTCCACAACACAGTGTACCAGGAATTGTGCTATGTACTTTATTTATATTAATGTATGAAATCTTTACAACTCTAGGTATAGGTATGAATTTTATGATTTCATGAATAAAATGATGAACATACGCTTAAAAATTTACCTAAGGGGCTTCCCTGGTGGCGCAGTGGTTGAGAGTCCGCCTGCCGATGCAGGGGACACGGGTTTGTGCCCCGGTCTGGGAATATCCCACATGCCGTGGAGCGGCTAGGCCCGTGAGCCGTGGCCGCTGAGCCTGTGCATCCGGAGCCTGTGCTCCACAACGGGACAGGCCACAACAGTGAGAGGCCCGCGTACAGCCCCAAAAAAAAAAAAAAAAAAAAATTTACCTAAGGATTCAAACCCAAGCAACTGACTCTAGAGTCCTACTCTTATCTACTATACTGAAGAAGTGTCCACTCGTGAAATTAACGAGAATAGTCTTGGTCAAATAGTGAAAGTAGAAACCAGATTACAGAGAATTTAGTAATAAACAGCAGATGGTGAAAGGAATGCAAAAAGCTTATACTGTTTTGAGAAGTTTAGTTAGAAGAGGATGCAAGGTTGATTAGGGCATAAGAGTGGAGAGATTTGAGCATGTTTATATGCTTTGAGAATCTGTATAGAGGTGCAAGAGGGTTTAATTAATGAAGCAAGCATGTAGGACAAAAATTAAGGTGGATAGATCATTCTTATATAGGAGATGAGCACTGCTTCCTTTGGAAAGGAACTAAAAATTGTTTCAAATTCTGATAAATTTATAGTAAAAATTTCAGGACTTTCATGCTCTATAAATTTCTACCTGAGATAAAAAGCAGGATTTGTGGAGAAGGGAGTAAAGTGGACCTAGTTTTGTGAAGGATTCTGATGGTTTGGAATAGCTACTATGAGGAAAAGGAAAAGGAAAAGGAGTCAACCAGGAACACAGGTAGGATTGCTAAACCCTGCTTAGGTTTCTCTCTTTCTAGTCTCTCTTCTAGTTCAGTATATATAGATTAATCTTCCTAAATGACCACTCTATCTGATATTTCCACTTTCAGGAAAACTTAATTGGCCTCATTATCTGTTCATAAATTCCTGTCTTGATTAAATAAATCATAAAATGTGAGGTGCTATTGCTCAGAATGGCTGTTTGGATTATCCATTTATTCACTGAGCTACCAGAATTTCCCAATTTTTGCAAAATTCTTGTTATATACTAACTTGAATGGCTGAGTAGGTATTACTTAGCCTGGCATTTAATGTGCTATAGTCTTACCTCAACCTGGTTTTCTACCCTTTTTTCCTTCTAATCCTTTTACAGAGCTACTCACTTCAATTAAGTTGCTTATCAACTCTTTTTTATTAAGTTAATATTTTTAATAATCTACTTTTATTGGTAATTTTTATTTTATAAACAAAAGTGACATGTGCTCAATGTATGGTATTTAGTTTCTCAGAGTCATCTTTAAAATGAGAAGTTACTTCTCAAAGGTTATATATAAGATAGATTTTTTACTTATCATGTGCTTTGTATTGTTTTACAAAGTAGTGGGTACTGTTTGATGATTCTTTTTTCTCACGAAGCAAAGCCACATAGTTTTCATGTTAAATTAGTAAAATTAGTTTTTTCTCATTTTTTTAAGAAAAGTATTTTTGATTCAGTTAATACAGTATCATAAAGATACCATAAAATTAATATCAAATATCATCTTTATACGCTTACTGTGTGTAGTCACTATACTTAATGCATATAGTGAAGGCAAAACCTTGATCTTTTTGGAACTTACAGTCTAAAAAAGTTAATGGAAAAATATTTTCCTCCTTCTTAAAAGTAAATCTAGGTCAAGCATCATTTGAAGCCATGGCATCAATTATAAATCGGCTTCACAAAAACTTGGAAGGAAATCATGACCAGCATGGCAGAAACAGCCTTCTCGCATCATATATCTATTATGTTTTTCGCCTACCGAATACTTACCCTAATTCACCATCACCAGGTATTTTATTCTTTTTACTAAGAAACTATCTTGCATAGATTATGTGTTCATAATAGGATTGAAATAATCTTGTAGTCCATGGTGTGATGCATTTATTCAATAGCAGACATTTGTTGAATGCCTGCTAAGTGCCATGGACTATGCTATGTACTGGAGTTAAAAGGATAAATAGGTTGTATTTTAAAGCATCATTATTTATACAGCTTCCTTTAAGTTGAATTAGAGAGATCTTGGTTGAATTAATTTTTGGAAATGAACCTTGAAAATAACTTCCGTCTCTGGAAGCATTTTATCATTCCCAGTTAAGATAAATAATTTAGAAAAATGGTACAGATGAACTGGTTTGCAAGGTAGAAATAGAGACACTGATGGACACCAAGGGGGGAAAGCGGGGTGGGGGGAGGTGGTAGTGGTGGGATGAATTGGGAGATTGGGATTGACATATATACACCAATATGTATAAAATAGATAACTAATAAGAACCTGCTGTATAAAAAATTAAATTAAATTAAAAAAAAAGTTGCATCACAAGGCATTATGGGTAAAATTGGAAGGAAGAGTATTTAAGAATCCCCACTGAGGTTCTCTGAGTCTATTTGAGGCTAATGCAGTCATCTCAGCTTGATTTATGATTATGTAGTCTGACGTACGAACTGCTGTTTGTGAACAGTTTAATAAAAGGCTATTGCTCCAAATTCCAAATTAGCAGTGAGGGTGATTTCTATTAGAAAAGACATTTGTGGAGGATTTTCTTCTTGTTACTTAATAAAGTGAGTTCTTTTTCTCAGTATAATACATGCTGTTGACTTGTGGCTCAGCTCTAGGGACCTGATGTTCTATTCAAAGAGTAAAAACATCTCTCTGCTCATTGTTTATTTACTATATTTTGGGGTACATATGGCAATGTTGTTTTCCTTACAGTTCCCAGTTCAGTTTTTTCTCTTGATTATGTGTTAAAAATATGTGCATAAAGTTCCCCAGTATCTCAGTAAAAAAAAAAAAGATAAATAGAATGTTATATTTGTCATTCAGAGTGCTATTGGACATTAAAGAAGAAATACGATGGCTCAGTAGTTTCCTGGTAACCCTGTGAAACCTACAATACTGTAAAAGATTATCCTCTAGAAAGTTCTGATCTCTTCATGGTCAATAAAATCATACAGGCTTTTTGAATATTAGAGCCCAGAGTAGCCACTTACTTTTGTTTTATATGACATAGGTGGTAGTGGTGGTGGTGGGGGATGTCTTAGTTTGAATCACTCTTTAGTTGTTCAGTTAGTAGGTTAATGATTATGTTGTGCATACCTTTCAACCTGTTTACATATTTGTCTGTATGAGTCATCCATTCCTCACTAGTGATAATGGTAAGTGCCCTTTTCAGCTGTTGTCAGTGTTAGCATTAATAATGGTGACAAGTAATTATGACATTCACTCTGAAAACTAGGCATAATAGTAATCTCAGTTTTAGCACATTTTATTTCTTAATTGAAAGAGAGAGCTAATTGACTCTTAAAGTCTTGCTCATAATTTCCTATCTTGATTTCTAAAATTATAGTACTTGAGTCTCTGAGTATATAAGTGATTGTGGACTGTATATAATGCTACTCCATTTACTGTTCCATTCAGTACACTATTAGAATTGCACAGATTTTGCAAAATGTCTTTTTTACATGCTGACCTGAAGACTATAAACTACTTAGTTGACAGGTGTGTGTCATTTGCAAATATGACACTCAGGTTTCTTTAAAAAAGAAAAATGGAGATACAATTGTTGGGTGCTTTAGGTTCATAGATCCTGGTTGAATAATGGTATCAGGCTTGACTTCAGACAAAAAAGGGATTCTTTGCTTTTTTTTGTATAACCTGGGCTTTTAGGAGAATTATCTTTAGTATACATTTATGTATGTATATTATAAAGATGCCATTTTTTTATAGTTAAAATTGTCACTGATAAAGATAGAGACCTAAGCCATAGTTTCATTTAAGAGATATTGACAGGAAATTGGCTCTCCCTCTTAGTGATTGTGTTTCAAGGGGCAGAGCAGGAGGGGTGGGAAAAAAGGAAAAGATATTAGCTGGAGCATTTTGGGTCTTAGACACCCTCATGTATAAGGAAAGGTAACGTTTGTGTATGTTTCTTATTACTTTTGTTTCTTATTGTATATGTAATACATAATCATAGAAACATTGAAGAGATAATGATTGTATTTATAATTCACATGGTTTTGTCAGCTGCTGTAAAATAAATTATCTTTGTATAGCTATCACTAGGTCTGCCATGTTTTTCTTATTTATAGTATTTTCATTTAGAAATAAAAGCAATTTATGATCTTTGTGGAATTTTGTAAAGTGGAAGAGATTTTTTCAGGTCCTTTGCTGATTGATTTTTTGCTTAATTATATGTTATTTTATGTACAACTCTAGGTCCTGGGGGTTTGGGAGGATCAGTGCATTATGCCACAATGGCTAGATCTGCTGTGAGACCTGCAAGCCTTAATTTAAATCGTTCTCGGAGCCTTAGTAATAGTAATCCAGATATATCTGGAACTCCCACGTCACCAGATGATGAAGTACGGTCAATCATCGGCAGTAAGGTAAACTGAAGATACGCGTCTATAAATTTGGTTTTCACGTTGTGAACAAATGAGAAATGTCCAATTGTTTTACTTTTTCTTAATTTTAAAATGTATTTGAGTTAGTAATAAGAAAGAAATTGTACATTTCTATTCTATCAGTGAACACATAAATGTTTGATGTTTCTATTAAATGTTTTTGCTATTACAAACTGGTTTGTGCGCTCTGCTCAAGAATATCTGCCAAATTAAAAAATGTGTGCAGGATGACCAGTCACATACGACTCATTGTCTGTCTGATTATCATGTGAAAAATGGTTAGATTGATTTTCTAGAGGATTAAAAGAGACCTGTGACTGCTGTGTAGTTGGGACATACTATCAACTTAAAATATGAGCCTCCCTTCTCCAAAAGTATCAAGAACAATGATTAACAATTAATAGAGCTACATTTCACATGGAAAACTCTATGTAAGGTGCACCAGGATTAGAAAAATATGATTTATTTAATCATGGTTAGTGATTATCCCAGACAATAAGGGAGAGGCCAGCCAATATAAGATCCAGCTGTATTTTATGTAAGCATCAATCTTTATTACCCCCCAAAATATACTTAAGGAACAAGTAGTCATTACCTTTCTATAGTTAAAGTACAAAAATAACTCAGAGTTTGAAAATCAAAGTGGAAAAAAAGAACAGTAAGACTGAGGCCAAGAAATCACATTATGTTTGGTTTTGACCAAACCATTTTAAATTGATTTTTTGCTATTAGAAAGAAGGAAGATACCTTTGTTATGGAATCACAGCCAACTTTTCTTTGGCATTTTAGTCTGTTAATTAGGATATGAGGAAGAATTAGTAAACGTGTTTTGGGGTCTGTGTTTAACCCTTAGCCTGAACTAAATAGACCTTATTATTTTTTTAATGATCTGAGCTTGTTTGTGTGAAATACTTGAATATGGATCAAACACATCAGAATTGCTTAAATCTACTCATATAGTTACAGAAATTTTACATTCAGACACTTCTAATAAACTTTAGCATTGCGCATTTTAAAGTACCTTTTACGTAATTTGAAAGTAATTTCTCACAGATCAAAAATACATTTTTAAAAGTAATTTCTTACAGATGAAAAAAATATTTTGTAGCCTTATAATTTAAAAAATAAATTAAACATGAATTTCAATAACTTAAAGATCCAAATAGGTGTTACTCTAATTAAACAAACTTTCACTTTTTGTGAACTTTTGAGAAAATGATGTTCAGATGTATTTACATGGTTACTGCAGAGTAACTTGAGTAATATAGGAATTACAAAAGAGACAGCTTTTCTCCCTCCACATATCTTTCCATGTCTAGGAAGAGAAGGTTTTTTATCCTTGTCTTCATTCTTGATCTTTTCTCATTGTAATGGAGGTAATACTAAACATAATTTACGTACGTAAATACAGTTCTTCAGTGGAATGAATCTCATTTGTGAATTATAAGAAATTTTCCTATTAAAGAGCTTTAGACGCCATTTTTCTCAAGGTTCTACTTTTGAAACATCTCTTAATTTCTGTAAGATTTGCATTATGCTTCATTTAGCATAATTCTAGAGTTTTCCTTTATATATGATGTATTTGATAGATTATATCATCAAGATTTAGAACAAAAGTGTACATGTATTGGAATGATTATTTGTCTTTTTTCAAGTGGTTCATAAAATGGGACATAATAATAATGTAAACTTGCTTCTGGTATTATATACATAAACTTTTGAGAAAGCTGTCATAAGATGAGACTTTGTCTTATGACAATACAGTCTTGTCCTAATCAAATTTTATTCAAATGGTTTTTGTGTGTTTTTTTTTTTTTTTTTGGGTTGCTTTTTTTTTAATTCGTTTTTTTGTTTTTTTGCGGTACGCGGGCCTCTCACTGTTGTGGCCTCTCCCGTTGCGGAGCACAGGCTCCAGACGCGCAGGCTCAGCGGCCATGGCTCACGGGCCCAGCCGGTCCGCGGCATGTGGGATCTTCCCAGACCGGGGCACGAACCCGCGTCCCCTGCATCGGCAGGCAGACTCTCAACCACTGTGCCACCAGGGAAGCCCCCTGGTTGCATTATTTTTGATAGCTACCTACCTTCATTTTGGACTATCATTTAGTCATAATCCCTAATAATAATGGTGTATAATTTTATCTCATTGAAAAATTATAAGGAATCTGAAGGTTATTTATAGCTACTCTTTATTTATTCTGATTTTATTGGCTTGGAAATTAGAGAAACTCTTCTTTAATGATTTTTGTCTTTCACTCTGCCTTAGCCATGGTTATACCCTTAGTCTTGTCATGATGAATAACTTTAATCCTCATTATCTCAATTTCATGCATCTTGTTCTCTAACCATTAGCTCATATTTTTCTGCCTAGTACCCCAACTCCAACAATTTCTCTGCTCGGCAACCTCCAATCACTTGATCGTATGACCTTTTTACTGTACCTCACGCCCCTAATGTTCTTTCTTCCAATTTAGCCAGCTTAAATTCCATGATCAATCATTATAATTATTACCATTATAAACAAACGTCAATTCCCTTATCTTTCCCTTACTTCATTTTACTTGCTTAGCCAAACCTCAAACCATAGCTGAATTCAGTTGACTGCCTGTGCCGTTAAACATGCTTTGAGAAATGCCATGATAACTGGTCTCATTTGAAATTAAAGGCCATGAACCTCAAGAGAGCCCTTAATGCTGTCAAGCAATTATACTATATTTCTTTATTCCATTTACTTTCCCATTCTCCCAGAAAAAGGTTTAATGCCTTCTTTGGTACCTCAAACCCTCTAACAGCTCTCCACCAATCCCCCTCCTCACTTTATCTCCTACTTCATTAAGAAAATGGAGGCCATCAGAAGAAAACTTTTGTCACCTTTGACCATCACATCTACCTATCCACTACCATCTACTACTATCTACTACTTAAAACTCTGCTATAGATGAACTGTCCATTTCCCTAAGTCCATTCCCTATTTGTATACAACCACCCATCCCCTTTCACCTACTCAAGATCCTCACTCCAGCAGTTCTTTCATCACTGTTCTACATCATCAGTTTCTCCCCATCTACTAAATCAACCCATCCCATAAAATGGGATAAAAAATAAATTTTAAAAAATTTCTCCCATAAAAAAATCTCCTCTCTAGTATTTCTGCTGGTAGCTTCTTCATCATTTCTCTGCTACCTTTTGTAGTAGAATTCCTTAGAAGAGTTTTCCATACTTGCTGTCTCCAATTCTTTTACTCTCGTTCTCTAACTCCTGTTACCCTACTTCAAACATATTCCTTGGATCTTCAGCCCATACTGCCCTTCTAATGCCCCCAGTGCGCTCCATGTTCTTAAATCTGAAGGTTAAATCTCAACACTTGGCTGAATTTACCTTACAGCAGCTTTTGACACAGTTAATTCTCCAATTTATTCTATTTACTTAGCTTCTAGGGCATTACACTATCTTGATTTTCCTCTTTACTGATTATACCTTTTCAGTCTCCTTTGTAGATTCTTCTTTTTCTGATCTCTTAATTTGGAAGTGCCCCAGGCCTCTGTCCTTATTTCTTGTCTTCTCTTGTCTTGTTTTCTCTTTTCTCTACACTCACTCACTTCATGATCTTATGAAGTCCTGTTGTTGTAAGTATCACTTTATGCTGATATCTCACAAAAATTGTATTTCAAGTACAGATCTCTCTCTGGAATTCTAAACTCAGCTGCCTTTTGTAAATCCTTTAGTTCAGATTTGCATATATGTTAAAGGTAGAGCCACTTCTCATCACCTCTAGTACTGCCATTTAGTCTGAACTACCATCATCTCTTCCTGAATTAATGTAATAGTCTTAAAGATGGTTTCCTTCCTTCCAACCTACACTCACTTCACAACATAGCAACCAGAATACTGCTTTAAAAACTTAAGTTACAAATAAACAAAACTTAAGTTGGATTATGTCATATCTCTGAGCAAGATCCTATGACTAACTCCTTTACCTCTTTTAAGTCTGTACTCAGAGAACTACCTTCTCCATGGGGTCTCCTCTGACCACTTATTTAAATGTATAAGTGTGTCTTTCTCCTTAGCCTTGTCCTGGGGACTTCTTATCCCCTTACTCTGTTTCTTTGACTCATAACATTTACTACCTTTTAATGTAACATATAAATTAGTTACCTGTTACGTTAATTTTTTAGTGTTTGTCTCCCTTTATTAGAGTATAAGCTCCATGAGGGCAGAGATATTTGTTCACTGATGTATCCAAAGCAACTATAATGTCCAGCATATGAAAAGTACTCAGAACACATGTATCCAAAGAATGAATGTTAGTAAGCATTGAGTATCTCTAGCAAGAATAAATAACTTTTAAAAAATTGAATTATGCTTTTGTTTGCCCTCTTGCTATCAGGATTAATTAAATACTTAAAGATCTTAAGATATTCGGTTTTATGAAAGTTTTGGTTAGACTTTATTTCCTAATACAAAATGCAGAACTCCTAAAGTTCTAAAATACTATCATCAGGCTTTTATTACTCTAGTGGCTATAAAACCATATTTGTGAGACTTTTTTCATAATTATTTTGCCAAAACTGATCTTTCTTTGTCCTAGCAATATTCTTTTAACATTCAGTTGTGTAAATGTATGGTTGCACCAGGTTTGAATTTTATTGCTTTTAAGCAAATGCCAGTGCAATTTTACATTGATAATTAGTTTCTTTCTAATATATCATCTCCTATTTTTTCATTTATTTTTCAAAAACTGAGAGCTTACTGTGTGCATAGCTTACTAAATCCACTATGCTGAGGATTGTATTGAAACATGAATATTGATGTCAATTCAGATACACTGTGAGCCTTATTCAGGGAAGGAGCCTATCTATACCTAAGGGACAAAACAAAATAATAATGTTACAGAGATTTGGCAAAAACAGAATAAAAACACTTTCATGCACACGTACACACATTTGATTAATCTCTTCTGTTAGTTGGAGATATGTAAACATAGTTATTATATTAGTAAATATCAGTGATGACTTTGCTTAACTAAGGGCTGTTTGATATAATTCTTAGCTGTATGACATTTAAATTGTGGAAATAATTTGCTTTACAAATAAATTGGCCCCCAGTTTTCTTTAAACAGTTGGCTTTGACTTGATGTTATTATAATTGTTCAAAGCCTCAGTATTGTGGATATAATGTATAATTAATGGCACAAAGAGATTTATTGTTTTTTCTCACATTACTCATTAGCATGTGCCTTAGTTTTAAAGGAAATTATTAAGCAAGAAGTTAAAAAGTGAACTTATGAGTACGGCAAAGTTATTGTTTTTCTTTTTGTAGAAATTTATGGTAGAGAGAGCACAGTTGTAATTTTGCAGAAATTAGATGCTTATATTTTGTTATTTTTGTGACATGAGTAGTGACATAATTTGGGAGACTGAAATTTTTTGTTTTAACTTACCTGAAAAACGTATTGTGTGCTGATTTGCTTTTATTTGAAATAATATAATGGGCTTCTGAGAAGTCTTTATTAATACGTATAAAATGGGGTATTTTATTTTAAACAAATCTATTGATTACATAATTTTATGAGTATTTGAATATTGCCCAATATACTTCGCTAGGAAGCATTTAAGAAAACATGTATGGCAAGTTTTTGTTAAAATTATTTTTTAAGAGTTTACTATATTTGAGGCATTGTATTCAGTGATTTACTTCCATTATTTACTTTGATCTTTACAGTATTAGGGAGACACTTATCAGTATTCCTATTTTGTAGCTAAGAAACTGAAAAAGAGATTAGATAACTTACCTTAGATTTTACAGTTAGTAAGCAGTAGAACCTGGATTGGAATTTTAACTCTCATCTTACACATTCAGTGTCAAAAATGAGGGGAAATGGGTAGTTACTGTATCATCATTTCAACTTCTTTGTATTTTTGGAAAAAATAGTGAGAAAAGGAAGGGAAATATTCTCCCTAAAAGCTAAGCCCTTGAGAGCTAGTAGTAGTTTGTCTTCCCTCTTTCCCCCTCCCCTTTCCTCCTCCCCTCCCTTTTCCTTCCCCCCTACCTCCTCCTTCCCTTCCCACAATATACATGCATGGGCCTCACTCCCAGAGATTATATAACTGTTCAGAGGTAGGGCCCTGCACATTTGTGGTGGTGGTTGTCCTTAACCTTACCAGGTGATACTAATGTCTACATAGAGTTGATTACCACTGTTTACTCTTTCTTTTCTTTTACCTATCCTTCTTTGGCGCTTTCTGGTTTGGGTTCATACTCAGGCCCTAATATTTTTAGTTGGCTTGTCTTGTGTTGTCTTCAGCAGTCCTCTAAAAATCTCTTCTACCTTGCTCAGTTCTATTCGTAGGTTCCTAGGGCCCAGCCCATGTTGCTCAATCTGGATTTCTGGGGGTAAGGGCCAGAATCTGAATTTTATAATTCAGGTGATTCTAATAATCAATTTTAAGAAATTGAAGTAAAGCCCCAGTTCCCTTTACCTGGGATCATAATAACCTCTTTCAGAGAAGACAGACATAATTCACTTCTGGTCATACACATTAATAGCATATTAAATTAACTTCAAATTACCGATAGTGATGATGAAGATACAATTCCTACAGACAGCCCTGGCATAATGTTTTTCCTTACAATTTTTATATAAAAATGTAGCCCATTATGTTTTTTTTAAATAATAAAATTCATAAATTTATTATTTGTTAATAAATCTACCCATTATGTTTAATTTCAACAAGCACAATAAGACTGAGCACAACTCCAAAGCTACCATCATTTTTAGGAAGGAGCAAATATCGGGCATCTTTTTTTTTCTTAATTTTTTACTTAATTTTTCTTATTGGTCCCTAAAAGAGGAGGCAAGTTCAAATAGAATTATGGAGTACTGCTACACAAAAGCTTTCAGTTGATGACAGATGGAATAAAATTAGTCTTTTAGACAAGATTGGAATGTTTTTCTTCTTCCATTTTTTTTTTTTCCTTTAAACCCTAGTTAGATTTAGAGGAAATTGTCTGTTGCTAACTTGTACCATCTCTGAAGAGAGTTTGGGGGGATGGTGCTGTGGGATCTTTAGTTGTTGATACTTAAAGGTGATCCCTTTATATAAAGAGAAATTACCTTTAAATGCTATACTTAATTTTCTTTGTGATTTTTAAAAAATTATGTAATGAGATAATTTTGATGAACTAATATTCTATAGATGCCTAAAAATTTTGGTTGCTTTAACAGTACTAATTAAAAACATGTTTGCATTGGAAAGTCTGGATTTCTTTAAGAATATAGCATGCCACATGTAATATTTCTTTCCTTTCCAACTGCTTTCTATTATATGCTTAGGGTTTAGACCGCTCCAATTCCTGGGTTAACACTGGTGGTCCAAAAGCTGCCCCATGGGGATCCAACCCCAGTCCAAGTGCAGAATCAACACAGGTGGTGTTTATATTAGAGGTTTCTTTATTCGCTGCTGATGTTTCCCTTTAGAACATTACTTTTTAGTATATACTATGATTTCAGTGGCTTGCTTTTTAATAATTAAAAAGTGTGTATTTTTGTTTACTTAGCACATTTTCCAACTGCTATGCATGAATACCACCAATTGCACCAGTAATACTCTCCTTTCCTATTTCCTGTCTCCTTCTCCTTCCCTCCTGTCCACCCCATTGATGTTTCAGTGCCTGCTGCTTATGCAATTGATGGCTTTGATAACAGTTTCTACTTTTGGGGTAGTGCATCTTTAGTAGGAATTTAAAAATTTTTTGTGTGGAAAAAACCTGACAGTTTTCCATTCGCTTTTGGTTTAAAGTGTAGCTATTGTATCATTGTCATTTAGCATTTACTATCTTGTCATTTTCTTCATAATCACTGACTAGAAATATTGGTAATAAACTGAAATTAAATATGAACAGTATATGATCCCCATGCTGTAAGATTAAGTGCCAGAAGCAAAAATCTGTTTTAAACTGTACTGTGTTGCAAAGTATGAAATTTGTTGTAACTTATTTGTACTAGGTTTTGCTTACTTAAGTCTAATTGCTTGATAGCTAATACTGCATGATTCCTCAAAATATACTTCTCATCTGTGTATTGGCTTTGGAGGACAATGCTCTCGTTCTTCAAGAAAAATTTTAATTGCAAATTTATTATAAATGATTTATATTTAATATAGTATATGGCTAACCTGAATCGTAATTTTTGATGATAGTGAAACATGAAAGAAATGATTCTAAACTTTTAATTTTTTAATTAAATATAAAATTCTTGATTTCTCTTTTTGGTCCAAGACCAGTGAGAAGTATGTTTTTACTTTTTACATTTTCTTACTAGATACATGCATGTGTATAGATCACACAGATAAAAGTTTCATTCTTTGCAGCACTCTGGATTTATATAATCATTAAAATACTTATCTTTTAAAGATAAAATAAATAGAAGCCATTTTGATACTTCTAATGCATTGTCGTTAAAGCAACTTAAAATAGTGAAAATGGGATGAGTGATAAAACAGATGGCTGTTAAAATGACAGTAAAACTCTATGTAAAAAATTGTATATAACCCTTGAACCGCATAGTCATCCACAGCAGACTTTAATGGTATCTCGTCATTCATTCATCTTCACTCCATAGGCTATGGATCGAAGTTGTAATCGTATGTCTTCGCACACAGAGACGTCAAGTTTCTTACAAACATTAACGGGACGCTTACCAACTAAAAAGGTAGATTCATATGAAGATAGTCCATGTAGGGGGAAAATAATTCCAACAATTACGTAGATGTAAGGATTCTTTACATAACCAGTATGAGACGTTACAATAATTGCACTGTTTTTAAAAATACATTTGAGCAAGCATTGCTTGTTTGATGTCTTTTTGGGCATACCTCTCCATTGCAAGCTCTTTTACATTATTATAATGTTTATATCTTTGCAGATGACTGTTTTTAGAGTTTAGTGCATTAAATTTGATCATTAAATTTTAGTACCAAAGAGATTGTATCAACTCTTAATTCTGTTTCTGTAACTGCTTCTGTTTTGTGTTTTAAATCTCCAGGGAAAGGAAGATGAGTTAGAAAAATTATCACTCTTAGTAAGATATGTTGATTTGCTTCCCTTATGCACAGTTTTGTTAGTCCTTTTTCATATTAATATACACTATTGTGCAAATGCTTTGTATGCATATCCATTATAAGGCAGGAAATTTCTGCTATTTTAATAAAAATACTTTAAATACCTGAAAACTTGAAAATTAATGGCTGATATCAAAGTTTAAATTTTTAAAGGTATTTCCTAAATTGTACCAGCAAAGTTCATGAATGTATTTGCATATGCTGAAATATGTATGTAAGGCACAAGCCCGATTTTATTTGTAACTGTGAGTTTTCGGTCTAGTTTCTTTTTGCACGTACAATTTAGGAGGCTATTTCCCACCTGTCGTTTTAAAATTACATTTTACTCCAAGATAACATGTAATTTTTTCAGCTATTCAACATGCCACTGTCTTATGTGTATAAATAGCCGTTTCGTTAATGGGTGTCCTCACTGCATCATTGAATGGTTCACATGCCTTATTTTGCTTATTCTCATTATATCTTCATTTGTACTTGCATTATTTGGTTTGTGTTACCAGCAGACCTGACACTGATAATAACTTTGGATTTACTTCTGGATAGCTATTTCATGAGGAGCTGGCTTTGCAGTGGGTTGTTTGCAGTGGCAGCGTTCGGGAATCAGCTTTGCAACAAGCCTGGTTCTTTTTTGAGTTAATGGTGAGCAAACTAAACACATTCTTTGTTTTTCTTGTTAAACAATGTTGTGTTAGCTCATGATTTTATCCTAGAATCTTTTCCTATTGCCCATCTTGTGGTTTTACATGTGCCTCCAAGACAAAATTACCTTTGCTACATCTCTAAATAAACACTGTGGACAGTCAGCACAATTTAGATGGAGTTATAAAGCTAATTTAAACTATATTTTTAGGGATAGTTGCAGAAGCTAACTATCTTTTTAAAGGAAACCTGTGATACATTCTTTCTTAGTCTGAACATGCTAGTGTATAATGGCAGTACTATTGATTTCATACCAGATAAAAAGAGCTTTATAGATACCTACTACTTTTATGGTTAGAAAGCTCTTAGGGAAATGCCAGTCACAGCCAATGAAAAACAACAACACTTTCTACTTAATTCAGTAAATGATATTAAAACAAATAAATGAATTAATATTTTAATAAATATCTATACACACACAACATAAACACATATATACACAAAAGCAATATACATTTATTAAGTACGTACAGTATTATTGGTAGCACAGCCCTATGGGCTAGGGATTACCAAGGCACAGAGAGATTAAGTAACTTGTTTAAGTATACATAGCTTGTATACAGCAGAGCTGTGATTCAAATTTAGGCATTCTGGCAGTAGGGACCTTCCTCTCTAGCTTTAAAAAGCTGAAATCACTGAAACTTTTTCTTCCAAAAAAATTATGTAAAATAATAAATAAGAAACAAAGGAAAGCAAAACAACAAAAAAGAGACAGAAAAAAAAAAAGAAACAATGGAAGTTTCTAGAGTATGCCATAGAATCATTCTTAGCATTGAATGTTACTTATGTTGAAGGTTAGAAGACATTTCTTCTGTAAGTTAAAACTACAATGAGGTATCGCCTCGCACCAGTCAGAATGGCCATCATTAAAAAGCCTACAAATAATAATTGCTGGAAAGTATGTGGAGAAAAGGAAACCGTTCTACACTGTTGGTGGGAATGTAAATTGGTGTAGCCACTATGGAGTATAGTATGGAGGTTCCTTAAAAAACTAAAAATAGAGCTACCGTATGATCCATCAGTCCCACTCCGGGGCATATATCCAGAGAAAACTCTTAATTCAAAAAGTTACATGCACCCCAGTGTCATAGCAGCACTAATTACAATATCCGAGACATGGAAGCAGCTTAAATATCCATCGAGAGATGAATGGATAAAGAAGATGTGGAATACATATACACTGGAATACTATTCAGCCATAAAAAAAATGAAATAGTGCCATTTGCAGCAACATAGATGCACCTAGAGATTATCCTACTAAGTGAAGTAAGCCAGAAAGAGAAAAGTTAAATACCATATGATATCACTTATATGTGTAATCCAAAATATGATACAAACAAACTTGTTTACAAAACAGAAACAGACTCAGACATAGAAAACAAACTTACGGTTACCAAAGGGGAAAGGGGGTGGGAGAGGGATAAATTAGGACTTTGGGATTAGCAGATACAAACTACTGTATATAAAATAAACAACAAGGCCGCACTGTATAGCACAGGGAACTATATTCAATATCCTATAATAAACCATAATGGAAAAGAATATGAAAAAGAATATATATATAACTGAATCACTTTGCTGTAACCAGAAACTAACACAACATTGTAAATCAAATATACTTCAGTAAAAGATTTTAAAAAAGACGTTTTGTCTAGAGATTTGCTAATCTACAAAAAAAATAAATCAGGGACCATATGTAAATGGTAGGCAGCTCATTTTTTTCCCCTAGAGAATAAACACCAAATTATAATTCATGTGCTTTTAATATAAGATCAAGTGACTTTTTAAAAATAGTCTTACATGTATGTTCAGATTTCTTAAACATGAAATAGTTTGACTTGTCTCTGTTATTTACCAACTGTAAAACCTTGTCATTAATTTCCCTGAATTAAAAATTTTTAGTACCATTAACACATGTTGTGATAAGAATCCATATCTAAAAGTATTTGGTAAATTGAAACCACTTTAATTTTTACCTAACATTTTATTCTTAATATCTAGTCATCAATATTTAATGTACACCCACCATATGCCACGAGATGCTAGGTGCTAAAGATTCTACATGCAGTCAAGGTTTCTAACCTCTCAGAGCTAACAGCTGGGGGGACATGGAATGGCAGAATTGTTAAGTCTTGGAAAGATTTAATTTAAAATAATTTTAAAGGATGAAATTTTTTTCTGTTGACATACCCATAATTTGTTTCCCACTGATAGCCAGGATAATGTCATGAAGCTGATACAGAGATTGAGTTGTATTGTGTTTGATATTTTTCTAGCGCATACAAAATATTGTAGGGAACTTTTTCAAAATATTTGACGAGTTAAAAGTATTTTATCTATCTGTTAAATTACATGGTATGTTGACAAAAATAGCTCTAATGTTTAGAATCTCTGTAACTGTTCATTACATCCATAAGAAATTAAACGAATGGCTTATTTCTTTTTTCAGGTAAAGAGCATGGTGCACCATTTATACTTTAATGATAAACTTGATGCACCAAGGAAAAGTCGTTTTCCAGAACGTTTCATGGATGACATTGCTGCTCTTGTCAGCACAATTGCTAGTGATATAGTTTCACGATTTCAGAAGGTAACGGTAACTTATTTTTTTAAACAAAATCTGTGTTTCAAGCACATGTTAAACTATATTTGTTTTTCTTTTAATTGTTTCCCAGGACACAGAAATGGTTGAGAGACTCAACACAAGCCTTGCATTCTTTCTCAATGATCTGTTGTCTGTTATGGACAGAGGATTTGTGTTTAGCCTTATAAAGACCTGCTATAAACAGGTAATGCATAATTAGTAATAATTAGTAATCAAATAATTTAAATGCTGCGTTTGCTCTTTTAGGGCTAGAGCTAAGAGATTTTTCAAGAACACATTTATATAATGATGTTTTTAAAAAGTGGCATATTTTTATTAGTAATGGAAAGATAAATTACATTTATTAGGACACAGGACTGTGGCAAGCTGCTGTCAGTACAGCTGGCTTTTCATTGAGTTATACTGGCCCATTTATGAGTTTTAGATTCTCATTCAGAAGTAGACCATCAAGTCAGGAGTCTAAATGTAAAGCAGCCCCAAGGTGCCATGCAAGAGTAGCATTTTTACTGAATGAACAGCTAACCCAACCTTTTCTGTCTTAAGTGATTTTTAAAGCAGTTGCATTTTGCTGTGTATTCCTCATGATGAAGCCCTAGACATTGTAGAGTTTAGAAGCATGAGTAGATGTTTACCCAAGTCACAAATATTATTATCTAGCTTTTTCTAAACTAAAAGTATTCTAGAAGTTTTCTACAAACAGCTGGTTTTGCTTTAAATTTTTTATCAAATGATTAATGAAACCTGGCTTTTAGAAAACATTAGTTATTCATCCTGATAGACCATTTGGGTACTGAGCTGTATAATCATCCTAGAATTACCTTTTAAGGGAGCTTTAAAAATGTACAGATCTCTGTGTCCCATCCCAGCATTTCTGAGGAGTTTGAACCCTGGTGGTGGGGGTGGGAGTGTGGGAAACAGTGCTTATAAAGTACTCCCTGCTGGTCCACAGATTAGTTTTGGGGAACTACTGGTTAAAAATGCTATTTGGCAGTCTAATACTTAGAATTTTGAAGCTCTGTTCTATTGGATGCAAATATTGTATGTTTCTTTTAACAGAGAAGTTAAAACTATGTGTGGGCACTGATCTATTTGCAAGTATTTGCAACACTATGTATTATTTTTACTTTTTCCCTGATATTTCATGTATTATTGCTCCCAAAACCTGTCCTGTCTTTATTCTTCAAGCACTGGCCTCCTACATTTGCCAAACATTAAACTAGACTCTAGGGATGCTAAAACTATTCAAATAAGTCAGTCTATATATGTTTCCTCAAGTAGCTAATGGGTGTAGTTGGGAAAATAGATAATTATAAATATAGGTTAACACAAGGTGCTGTAAAAAGAATGGATAATTTATTTTAGGAAGTTATTTTGGTGGTATACTTTTTCTTCATAAAGTATATCTTTGAGAAGTGGAAATATTAATGCTATATTGGAAATATAAGAATGTGGCCTTAAGAATGCACCTAGTCAGTGGATTTATACAGTAAATCTTGTAGTTCCAAATTTTTTATTTTAGGAGTAACTTTGGAAAAAGCCGATACTGTTATTTAAACCACAAAATTCAAGACTGCTCACTGAGTACTGTTCTCTAATTCTTCTTTTTGGTTGAATTTGTTTTATTTATTTATTATTATTATTATTTTTAAAATCTTTATTGGAGTATAACTGCTTTACAATGGTGTGTTAGTTTCTGCTTTATAACAAAGTGAATCAGTTATACATATACATATGTTCCCATATCTCTTCCCTCTTGAGTCTCCCTCCCTCCCACCCTCCCTATCCCACCCCTCTAGGTGGTCACAAAGCACCGAGTTGATCTCCCTGTGCTATGCAGCTGCTTCCCACTAGCTATCTATTTTACATTTGGTAGTGTATGGTAGTGTCCACACCACTCTCTGGCTTTGTCACAGCTTACCCTTCCCCCTCCCCATATCCTCAAGTCCATTCTCTAGTAGGTCTGTGTCTTTATTCCTGTCTTACCCCTGGGCTCTTCATGACATTTTAATTTTTTTCTTATTCCATATATATGTGTTAGCATACGGTATTTGTCTTTCTCTTTCTGCCTTCACTCTGTATGACAGACTCTAGGTCCATCCACCTCACTACAAATAACTCAATTTCGTTTCTTTTTATGGCTGAGTAATATTCCATTGTATATATGTGCCACATCTTCTTTATCCATTCATCCGATGATGGACACTTAGGTTGTTTCCATCTCTGGGCTATTGTAAATAGAGCTGCAATGAACATTTTGGTACATGACTCTTCATGAATTTTGGTTTTCTCAGGGTATATGCCCAGTAGTGGGATTGCTGGGTTATATGGTAGTTCTATTTGTAGTTTCTTAAGGAACCTCCATACCGTTCTTCATAGTGGCTGTACCAATTCACATTCCCACCAGCAGTGCAAGAGTGTTCCCTTTTCTCCACACCCTCTCTCCAGCATTTATTGTTTCTAGATTTTTTGATGATGGCCATTCTGACCGGTGTGAGATGATATCTCATTGTAGTTTTGATTTGCG